GTTTCTGAATAAGTAAAACATTCTTAAATTTGATTTGATAATTACAGTGGGAGGAGAATTTGAGCTGCATTTTATGTTCTTCCTGAATATTAATATTAATTTTATGAATGAGATATTTTAATAACCAAACCAGAACTAAGATAAAACCCATCGCAACCAGTTCTTACTATACGTACACACTACCTGACGCTCCATCATATTTCCGAAAACTCCCCACCGCGATCCACTGGATGCCGGGCGTCCCGACGCATTGTTACGGAACCGACGCCGACGCGGGTCGCGGCAGCGACCAATCGGCTCTTTGCTAGAAATAGCCACGCCCTCGCAGTTCTCCCTAATAACGCGTGGCATGGAACCATTAAGTGAGAAATCTAGATTCTTAGCAGTCATTGCTTGGTGAATTGCACATACCGTTTGTTTGTTACTTTTAAACTACAATCACTTTATTATACGCGTTCGGAGTGGTACCACCGGGTATCGCGTTAGGTAGGCGAGTCGAACCGTTACTTTTGGTATTTATTCCGCGAACGTGGTGGCTGTAACTTACCGTACTTGGACGTCGGATGGAGGTGGTCCATTTTGGAATTGGATTCCGCAAAAATGGTTTTGCGCATAATGGCGCGTATATACGGACGACTCTTTGAATACCTAATTTAAAATTATTATGTCGTACATTTTTGGTAAGCGCTTTAGAACATTCTTTTCAGTCAGCCGCGCCATCAGCATCTACAATTTGTCATTTGTTTTTCTATATAGATTTAATAGTATGTGTTTTCTTTTTTTAACTCACGATATATTTACAATCCCGCATCGACTGTCATGACAAAGCACACCCTAAGTTATTTTAAATTTGCATCGTTGTCACTTACTCTGTTTTGACCCAAAGAAAGAATAAAAAGGAACAGAGAAAATGATTGATGAAACACATTTAAACTGAAAAAAGTAAAGAGGAAAACGAAAAAATAAAAAGCGAAGAGTGATCGTCAGAAAATGTCATTTCACACTTATGAGTTGCTGATAGGCCAGAAGTAATTAATGTTGTATGAAATATCAGGTCCATGGAATCAGTTCAAAATATGCGACGAGTGAGAAAAACTTTTTATAAAAAAGTGGTTATAATGTAAAAAATATTTTTAAGCTGATTGACTTATTGTGGAAATATAATATATATAAAATTATATCACTTCTGATGTCAAATAAGTGTTTTTGGTTGGATTATACTTATAATACTTAATTATTATAATAATTATTATAATTTTATGCTACTTTGTATATTTTTAAATAAAAATTAAAGCAATTTAAATAGCAGGCCTTAGAAAAATAAGGGAAATTAGGCAATGCACTTGCAAAATATTCACAGTAAAGAATTGTTAATGTTGATCATGCTATAAATAACACTTATAAGATACTTATTATACCGACTATGTCGGTATGTACTTGTTTTGGTACCACGACAGATTTCACTCCGACTTAAACTAATATATATTTATGTATAAAAAACGATCGCAATTGTAGTTGTATTTCCATTTTGAGTGAAAAATTATTCTACTGAGTATTTGTAATTGCCGGTATAAGTTCAATTCGTGAAAATATATATTGATATCAAAAAATTCTATAAAATATCATTATCGACTCTGAAAAGAAGTCGACATAAGTATTACACAACCCAATAAAAATTATTTTAGTGAGGTAAACTTTATGACCTAAAATACCCACGCCCAAAATTATTAATATGCAATTTAGACGTAGTGGGCTGATCACCACAAACAATGTTCTTAAGTTTATTACAAGTTTTATTAAAATTTTTATTTAAAAAAGCAAATTAACAATATACCAACCCCTTGTGTAATTTTTTTAAAATTTGAAAATGTCGAAATAATGAAAATCTTTTTTGATATTTTTAGTACTTCTATGAACCACCAATCAGATCAAATTTTCAGTTTTCTTCTAATAGCACAAACTGAAAACATTTTTCAATGGATCTTATTTTCATTCTAGTAGTGACATTTTGAATTTGTACAATTTTGTCGATCTTAACATAAGCAATTCGAAGTTGTGTTATGCGGACAATAAAAACTAGATGGAATTTAGTACAGTATTTAGATAGTATTTAAATTGTACTAACTGGTAGCCTTAAAAAACTTTGTACTGTTAGAATCAAATGCGGGAGGACGTTAATTTCATGTAGCGGCAACACACTCAAAAACGAAAGAAAAAATAAGACAAAATCGAGATGAAATGATTTGTATTATATTCCACATAAAAAAAAATTGTAGCTTGTCTCGTGACACTGCTAAATTCATATAAATGTAGATGTTAAAAAACATGCTAAGTCATTATTAAATAATATTCTAGCTAGCCAGAAAATACTAAAAATAGCAGAAAATAATATATATTTTCTCGGTTTTAAAATGTCGTTTGACGTTGTCCGATGTCCAGTTTCCATTGCTTTCGGTCTATGTTTTATTTGATCTCCCTAGTTTTCTTTTAAATGGAGGTATCCATTCAACTGCTTTTTTGGGAGTTGTCCATCCCAGACACATGTCCATCCCAAATAAGTTCCGTTACGAACATGCTTCTTCTTATTTCCTCGTTCGGTTTCTTATCAAAGCGAGATAGTCCTAAAGATATTTTGAATCCATCCATTCCTACAGCGTTAGCTCTCCTTTTCCTTTCTTCTAAAAATAATGCAATGTTGAAAAGGGGTCGCACAAATCAACAAATGTTGGTTAAGGGTTATCCGAGACATTTTGATAGGTGTTTCGAGTTAAGATCTAATACACCCACCATAAGGACGATTTATGTTAGAAATGCGCGGAATGTGGTCGTATTAGTGCGTACGGTTAGCGTTAAGTCCGTTACATAATCCGGTCGGTAACAATTATAAAGGATTCTTTTAGAAAGTGTCGTCTTTTTTAAACCCACTCGCCGGTATTATAAAACGCACGGTGGAATCTGCAAAGTACCGGCTACGAAGCCGTAAATAGCATCAGGTAATTCATTAAACGATCCCGATCGAGACCGATCACTAATAATAACGCGTATCCCGCGAGCCGACCATACATTTGTTTTGAGTTTTGATGCAATAATTTCGTCACCGATGCCAACCGAATTTCTAGTGTATTATTAGCATAATTTTCCCTGACGTCACCGGATTTTTCGGGCTCGGAACTACTTTTTTTACTTATTTTTAACTTATTTTTCACAATGTTAGGTAGTAGGTTGTATGTATTTGAGGCCGCGATTATTGGATTTTGCAATTCATTAATTGTTCTGACAATCCGTAACCGTATGTCAGTGTGATTTCTTAAGTTATGTGTATTTCATTGATATCATTTTGGTGTTCTGTATTATCAAATTCTATTTCTATTTCAAATTTTAGTATAATTTCAATCGGATTAATTTGAAGTGAATGATACAGCGTTTCGGTATACATTTTGTAATCTAAATTAAATAGAGTTTTAAGGATTTTATTTTGCATTATTTTTGTTTTATTATATGAATCCCAGACTGCAATAAGATATTTTATAACCGACAAGAAACATGCATTATAAATTTTATATGTTGCAATCTTGCAAAATAGTTACTTCCGCATAACGCTGCAACTAAGGGAACTATTTTGTTCTTTATATGACTACTGACCAATTTAGCTGCTCGTCAAGCATAAGCCCTAAATATTTTATTTTATCAACTCTTTCCAAAATGAAATAATTTATCTTAATGTTAAAGTTATATATACTTTTTTTGTTTAAATAAAATGTATTTAATTTTTTCATTGTTTATTTTGAATTTGTTATTTAATAGCCAGTTGTCATTGCCTTGCAGTTTCCTTTTAAATAATTGTTTGCAATATTTGCCAATACTTCTGAATTTTTTAATGAATAAATTAAGACCGTACCATCTGCATTTCTACATTTTATTACGAATTTGGATTCCTCATAAATTTTTGTGTTCCTAACATATGTAAAATTTAATATCTACATTCCTGACTAATCCACCCATTTTCTTCCTGAATGCATACACGTAACACTAAATAGTATAATGCGCATATAGAATGTCCGAAAAGTTTGCTTTATTAATTTTTCACTTTTAACTGAATGCGAATCACTTCACATAAGCGACCTGGCAAAATGAAAAGCTGCATTTTCAGAAAATTTTATTTGAGAACTAGAAATTTGAAGAACACATCTACCAACTACAGACAACAATAATATTTATAAATGTTTATATTCGTTAACAAAAAATAATTTTTACAATGTAAAATGTACTTTTTACTAAAAATATTTATTTAACCTTAACTTTGAATTTTTCTATAGACAGCAATTCAATTTGATTTGGCAAAATATTAGCCAGCATATACAGATTTTTTATTTTAATAAACTTATTTTACACCAAAATTTTGAGTCCGCGCCCTTACGCTTCAAATTTAGAAGCATTTTAATGATGTCAATAATTAACCCATACCTTAAAATATAGATGTATGGTAAGAAAAATCAGTAGAAGTAATTTGGTACTGGTTCTCGTAAACTAAAACAAAAACTCTCAAGAAAAATGACTACACTGCGTCACATTAAAATAAGTAAAATAGAGAAGCAGACAGGCGTGGCACTTCGAAAACATTGTCAAAATATTAGGTGAAAATTTTCACACATTTTTCCACAGCCCATTCACAAAATCACAGTACTTACTATTTAGAGGTTTTATACACAAATACACAAAAGTTTTCGATTTAATATGGAAGTGCCGTTAAACAAGTTATTTAATATTGTAAATAACGTCATTAAATATTAGTAATCATGCATTGACGATCGTCGAAAGAAACCTAACCGGATTATTCAGTTACAATATACGGAAAATTTGTGTTATACCATGCATACTTCAAAATGACTTCAACATACTTTCTCTCTCTCCCGATAATAATAATTTTCAAAAAATGTTCCGGTCGAACTAAAAGCGACAGCGTAGAATTATTCTAAATAAAATTAATTTAATTGTTTCAGGCCCAGTTTGGAACTAGCAGCTTCGCTGAGCTACTGAATGCACCCTTCTCGGATGAGCCAAGCGCCGTCCTGTCTCCCGAAGAACTCGACCCTTTCGCAGACGTCGCTATCCCCCCGCAGCCTTCGCCCCCCGCTGCCCCCCTACCGAGTTTTCAAGAAACTTATCGCGGATACCAGCAACCGCAGCCGCCATTCAAAATGGACGAAGAATGCAGTTTCAACGTCTCCTACCATCATCCGGTACCTCCGGCCCATCACTACGATTATCAACAACTTCAATATACTGCAGCTAGTCCGTACTATCCACCGCCACCAACCTGCAGTCCTAGTTTCGAGACATTGTTGGCGCAGGAGTCGCATTATTCCCTACCCGCATACCAGAGTACCACGCCTGCAGAACTTCACGTTAGTACGTCGTTAAGTCCAAGACAAAGAAGAGCTTCCCTACCATTGCAACGTTCCGAGTCGACGAGCAGCAGCGAAAGTCCAAAACTTCGTATGGCAGGTGAGTTCGTAATTCAAAACGTTCCTAATGTAAATTAACTACTGGACGCTTGAAGCGGATAAACAAAAATTGTATAATGAATAAAAAAAATACTCATTTGCAAATTATATCTCAAACCCACTGAGTGATAATGGAATTGTTTTTATTATTTACTTCTACAATGTTTCGACCAGTCGTCCTCACGCGAATACTGAATTCATTCTTTTTTAAACAATAAATGACAGTAGGTTAAGTTAGGTGGTATACTTCGACCAGAAATATAGTGGTTTTACAATCGACCCTGTCATTGACTTTGCCTACGATTTTGTAGCCTTTATTTCAATCTTTTTCGCTGAGCAATTCTTGAAACATATACATAAAAAAATTAGTACAAAGTAACAATTTATTACGTTGTATTTCATTATATTTCTACATAGTATTATTATTAATATACAAAATATTAAATATAATAATAATAATAATAATAATAAAGTAAAAAAAATCACCCAGTCACCCACTGTCGTCACCTATTTCAATGTTCAACTGCGTCACTAATCCTTCTCAATAAATATTTTCATCTTTTATTACTCGTTTTTCACAGTTAGACCAGCTCGGTACTGATATTTTAGCTACCTCTTGCCGAATTACTTTTATGGTACTAAAACCAAATTTTGGTGCAGTGTTGTTTCTTCTTATATGCACTTTCAGACTAAATCATCTCAATCGGGTTAAATATACAATGTTACGGGGGTAATCTCAAGGTTTCATGTCCTTTTTGTTGTGCTATCGAATCGATTTTTTAGTCTTTATTAAAATGTTTCATTTTTAATAATTCCAGAAGTTGTTTTTAATATAAATCATTTTCGTGCAGAAATTCTTTAATTTCTTCTATATTTGAAGAAGTATTTGGAATTTTTCTAATTTGGGCTGAATGATACGAGCCATTATCCATGGCGATAGTTTTGGCAACAGTTTATTTTCAAACCAATCCTCAAATATTTCCGCGGTCATGTTTTCATGGTAATCCACAATTGATTCTTTGACGCTTTTGACAGACAAAAATAAGTCCTCTTCCACCCAACCATTTTTGGACCCAGCATAAAGAATTATTATGCGTTTTCCATGTGAAGGCGGCACGTCTAGTACACACTTGTTACTATTATCACTATATCACATACTATTTTACTCTCGAAATTTTTCAGTTGCATTTAAATGATCCACCCTCCATTGCGAAATTCTTTGAGATTCCATTAACACTTGACGTTTATTAATTGTTTAGAATTGAAAATCCATTTTCTTTAAAAAAGTACCCAACCAATCTTTGGCACAACTAATCTTTAAGTCTTGTCAGTACTTTTTTTATGCAGTTCTTCTAGGGTTAAAACGCTATTCACTTTTTTAAGCGTCGTAGATTATAAGCCTAATTAGATCTGCGTGTGGTTCTTTAAAAACTCGTAAAGTACCTGCTCCTACTCCCCCTTCTGAATTTCTTATAAAATTGTAAACATTCAATACAATTTGTTTAGCATCCGAAGACAAATTGATCCATTTTTTATTTGCTTGCGTAATATATACGAACATATTGCAATTTAGATTAAGCTCTTAAGGACGACACATATCACTTGATGTTAAAATAAACGCTTCTTCTTATTCGAAAATACCCCGAAGCATCAATGCTTAATAAAATTTAAAAGGGTCCATTTTCGTTTGAAATAAAAATTTCATCTCAGGCAAGACCTACTTAATGCAGAATAAATATCTGGGGATGGGTTTTACCACGGTCCTGCCAAGGTTTGCGGTTAAGGTGTTATAAAATACTCAAACGTCAAAGTAATAAATGCACTATATTTTTGGTCGTATTATACAGAAATGTGTTCTCTAATGGAGTGCCACAATGGTCGTTAGGGTTTAGAATGAATGAATTGATGGAACAGGTAAATCAGGATTTGGAAATTATATTAAATGGCTACATTATCAGAAATTAAAAACCCATGTTGACAAAACTAAGTACATGCTGTATAACAAAAAAAAAGTAATTTTTCAATTACAAAAGCAACATTTTAAAATAAATGAAAACCATATCTTACTGACAAAACTATAGCTGTTTCATTTAAAATACATCCTTTTTGACGCATTTCAGTTATTTTATTACGTGTAATAGAAATGACTTTGAAAAAATGGCAATATATTTGAAAGTAAAATATTCAAAATAAATCCACAGGCCAAAATTTAAATATTTCTATTTATCACTTATTATTACTGTATAAGAAATAGAAATAATTTCTATTTGGGCAGCAGTCGAACAAATATGATTTATGCAATGTGCAGCTAAATCTTTTAATACTCGTCCAAATAAGATAAAGTCTATTGAAGCTTCTTTTTCTTTTCGTGCAATGTATAGGAATTAGTGGAAAATCTGTTTTTTTAGCAAATAATTATTGCTAGATTTATAATAGTAATTGAAGACAATTTGTGTTTATTGACTATATTTAGAAGTGTAGGCAATGATTGTGACCTGGGGACCAGTGCTAATATACTGTTTATAGATTTAGGTAGTTATAATGTAGATTGGAAGCTAACAAAGTTCATTTTATGAAATGACATTCAGGATCAAGCATTACATCCAATTCGATAGTCACAAGATAAATATATGTCGGTATTACATGCAAAGGCGGAGTTTGCACGTATTACAAAGTGATAATTTTTTTCAGGTCCAGGTCCATCAGCTTCTTCATCAGCAGCATCTTCACCAGGAGGCCCTTCTGAACCCCAACCGCCCGCTTCAAAAGGTCCCACGCCGCCCTCCCCTTCACAGTTGTGCGCCGTATGCGGCGACACCGCGGCTTGCCAACATTATGGGGTTCGAACATGCGAGGGTTGCAAAGGGTTCTTTAAGAGAACCGTGCAGAAAGGTTCCAAGTACGTTTGTTTAGCAGACAAAGCTTGCCCGGTAGACAAAAGGAGACGGAATAGGTGCCAGTTTTGCAGGTTTCAAAAGTGCTTGGCCGTAGGCATGGTTAAAGAAGTCGTCCGGACGGACTCCCTCAAAGGGAGACGCGGACGACTACCATCCAAGCCCAAATCGCCCCAAGAATCTCCCCCAAGTCCCCCGGTATCGCTAATTACCGCTTTAGTAAGAGCGCACGTGGACACTACTCCAGATCTCGCTAATTTAGATTACTCGCATTATTTAGAACCTACCCCTATTGAACCCGTTATATCGGAAGCAGAGAAAATTCAACAATTTTACTCGCTACTGACCACATCGGTGGACGTTATTAAGAGTTTCGCTGAGAAGATACCCGGCTTCATGGTGAGTGTAGCTGAGTTGTTTTTGTAGTACTAGAATAATGAAATGTATCAGCGAATTGAATATTTTTGCGTTGCGTTGGTAAACCAACCGACATTACCGACCAAGTATTATTTTTTCTGGTTTTATTTCAAAACTTGCTTACGTGAACTGAATTTCAGACGTTAGTGATCGATTTCGCTTAGGTCGTGGGAGGAGTCGCATTTAACTCCATAGCTTTTAATTCATTCTAAACTAAGGAAAAATACCGATGGCATTGGTATTTGTTTTTATAACTTATAGATCATTTTTTAACAGATAATTCTAATTTTTTCTCTTTCGACTGCGATGGCACCCACTGAGAGCTTAACAAACATTCAACTCTTGGTTCCTTTTTCTTGACGTATTGAAATTATCGTCACCATCTTGGGACGAAATTTCCAAAATAAGAGGCCAATGTCAAAAGTTCGAAAACACAATGACAGAAGTACCAACGTAAATAAGTAACACCGGCCGAACACATGATTTCTCTAGGCACACATAGCTAGAGAGATGAAGGTTTGATAAGCTGAGTCTTAAACTTGAAATTCCTTCGTACTTATCTGGACACGGGTTTTCGTACTTTCTGGAAACTTCTCTTACCTTTCAATCCTGCTGCATACGTTGTTATTTGTTGCAGGACATTTGCGTGGAAGACAGAGACCTCCTCTTCCAGTCGGCCTATTTGGAGTTGTTCGTTTTGAGGTTAGCGTATCGCACTCACCCGAACGACAACAAGCTGACGTTTTGCAACGGGGTGGTCCTAGAAATGCAACAATGCCAGAGATCATTCGGTGAGTGGCTGCACGCCATCATGGAATTCTGTGCCGGACTCCACGCAATGGAAATCGATATATCGGCTTTCGCTTGCCTCTGCGCCCTTACATTGATTACAGGTAGGGGTAAGTGGTTTTATTTTTTATTTTTTACGTTTTTTTTTGAGTTCTAACTCGACACGCCTAGGATCGGCAAAAAAATGCGCAGTGGATTTTATGAATACACGCGGCAGAAAAGATTAAAGGTACTTCTTATCAACGAGTTGCTACGTTAAACGCGAGGCGAGCCGCTCGCAACGATCGGATTAGCGATAAGCTTAATGATTATGGATCTCTTTAATAAATATGCGATCGGAGAATCGTTAAATAAATTAGAGACGATTTCTGTGCATGCTAATTTACGTTTACGAGCAATCGTGTAATGCGCACGTTCGAATTTCGTTGCTGACATTATGATCGGATTTTGTGTACTAGACATCTCTAACAATTGCCCTCGAATCCGGTCGCTAATAATAATAGATATAACTATAACCGCAAGTATCTAGAAAACGGATCTGTCATTTAAGAAATACGAAAAAAAAAAACGTTATATATTAATGCAATACAATGAAACTGATACATTTTTTATATTGTGTATCAAAGTGTTTTCTTAATTTTCGTAATTTTTATTTTCTCGCTCGAAAACGAAGCAGGATGCGAAATCCAAGTTGTACTTTTATTGGCTTATTACAAATAAATTACCAAAATTGCAAAAAAATGCAGTGACTTATATATCTTCGAGAATAGTATTTGTTAAGTTACCTTCTGGGCACTGGAATTAACAATTTTAGTCTAATTAAACCAAAATTAACCCTTTATCATTATAAATCGGTTAATTTGAACTTTTTATATTTTTGAATCCCCAGTTATCTTTTTGTTTCTGATAGGTGGTACATATAGCTATTAGACAATATTGTGAGCCTACTGCAGTAAAAATTGATGAGCCGAAGTCGGCATTGATAATTTCTTAGAGATAAAAATTTTCCTCGCATGCCTCTACATTTTTCTCAGGAATGTTCACTTTGAGCCATCTTCCCAGAATATTTAACGAAATTTGGGCTTTTTTTGAGAAAATACTATCGTAAAAATGCCGCATCCAAACATATTGACAATCTGTCAGCGCCCATGTTGGTTGTTGAATGCCGCAAGGTCATTCTCGCGAATGCGCATGTCGAATGAATCTTCTCGAAATGTTTTTCATAGTTGCCTTATAAGCTCCTGTATTATTATCATAGCCAGGGACTCATTTAAACTGTGATTTTTTATGTCTTGTATTATTTGTTCTCATTGATGATTCATAAATAATCTAATAATGAAATTTTTGTAGGAATTAGATAATCATAAACATATTGTGTCATATTAGTCAACTTTGTTATGGGTAGAGAAAAAAAGCTGATTAAATTAGCAAACTAGCAGCATTTTTTTCACTGATTGCGATTGTAAAAATAGGAAAACAATTGAATGTGGGTTTTAGGAAGAAATGAAGAGAATGTACTCTTTTTAATTGGATCAATTTTTATGTGCTTTTTTTGAAAGTTTTTAAGAAGTTCATATCCGTATATAAAGTACTCAAACAACGAAAGCACCGCGTTCTCGGATATATATAAATGAGCAAGAGAAAGACGACAATCCCCATTGCTAGCCGTCTTTTTTATTTGTAAAATTTGCCTCAATTTTCTATTACGCCGTTGCCATGACAGTTTCGATCGAGCTCACCGAATGAATAATTCTTTCGAGCACAAGCGATACCAGAGGTTTGGCATCACAATTACATGCAATAAAAAGATTAAATATGCGTCGGTTTTACAAAAAACTAAATATAGTTACTTACATACTCATGCGAAATAGTTATTTTTTCTTTTCATTTAATGTTTTAATGGAAAAATTGTTTTCTTTAATGTGTTGTAGTTTGTTGTAAGACCATTTTCGGGTTTTCTGTCCAAATGTAAGAAATGGTCAATACTGTAATGTAACCTAATCTAAACTAAATCCTCTCTGCAATACCTATCTTAATAGTCCTTCCTTCATAAATAACATGTCGCTTGCAAGTTACTCAAATCGACTTCGTATCGACTATACTCGTGTCGAGCATATGTGCGACTTTAGGCACCGCATGTGTGTAATATTAATAGCAAAGAAATACTCGCCGACGACCAATCAAAGCGTACCCACCTGTTTATATATTTAAGAGTCTTCGTACAGTCGTTTTATAAATAATTCAGACTACCATCGTGAGTTGATTGAAACCCGATGATATTTTGAAGGTGTAATCAATCCGTGTAAAATTGGATCACGAAACCACCGGACTGTATACGTTGGGAACGCGTGATTTTAATTCAATATGTTCTCGCTTATGTATAAATAATTTATTTGTCTGTTGAGACCGTGACTTAACACTATTATGAACATAAATTAATTTTGCCGATATACAAAAAGGCAGCTCAACATTTTTTCAGAGGCGTCACGGAAACATGTCAACAATATTCTATAACTTTGTGTTAATGTGTTTCTTTTTTGACAAAAACTTTCTTAAAAAATATGTAACGATCGAAGATAATAGTTTCGTATTATAGTCGAAGATCAGTTGTCCTTAGCGTCCGTGACAACTTGGCAATGCTTCAAATTTTTAGAGCTGCAGCTTAATGTATTTCTCAGATAGGGTATTAGATTTCCACCCCCCCCCCCCCCCAAGCGTTACATGTCATTATTTTTGGATAAAGTATAATTCATTAATTAAATTAATTAATAAAAAGGTTATAAAATACAAAAAGAGAGTCGCAAATTATGTTTTAAAATAAGTTTGCGGGAAAGTGTTACGTTCCATATGCATATGGAATATAGTACCGTATACGTTCTTTGCACGTCACTGACTCGTTAGCCGTCGTATTTATTCTCCTTTAGTAAAACTATTAAGAAAATATCCAACCACCCGAGGAATCTTACAATGAATTGCGAAACAGACAAACCAAATGCATTATCTTTTTCTTATTTCATTACTAGCCGCTTTCAAAATTCAATTACTTATGCAATGAAATGGTTTAGACGATCAGAAAGATTGCCGTTCCTTGGGTTTTACACGAAAACAATAGCTGATGTGGGTTGTTTTGTTGTCGTTGGAATCGGTGTTGCTTCACAACTTTAAATGCGATCAAAATATTTTGTGTGCGTTGAGAAATAGAGTTGGAATGGCACTGAATTGGCATAGCGTAATTTCAATTATTCACATATTTTATTTTTCCAACTTCTAACACCTAATCCCAGAAATGCAGCAGACTCTCATGTTTTTTAAATGTATAAATCTGTATTTTTTTTCCATCCATTCTAATAAATTAATGTTGCAAAGTTGGAAAATGCTATTTTTCAATTTCAGTCTAACATAATTTTAGAGATTTTGTCTTAATATTTTCCATACTATAGAGAATGACTTTTTTTCCTACAAGCAACTATCGAAACCTACTCTGCTCTACTCTAAAAAGATAAAATAAACAATGGTAAAACCGTTTAATTGGCATAGCAAAAACCCACAACTTGTAACTTAAAATTACTTTTTGTCCCAACGAAATATTCGCTTTGTGAAACATCAATTAATTCCTGACATTTTGCTGCCTGGAAAATCGCATTTCCGTTGTAATTCAATAATCCTTTTCGGTTCTGAGATTGGATTTTTTGTTATTGTTTGAAAAATCTTCTATCGGTAGCAGTAGAGATTACCTTAAATTGATGTTTTTCAGTCTTCTTTAAAAACTTAGTTAAGATTTGATAGAGTCGGGTGGTTCTCTCTCTCCTTTTCCCTCTTTCTTTTTCATTAAGGTACATAATAAAAGATTTCTTGTTACAGAACGACATGGTTTAAAGGAACCCCACAAAGTGGAGCAGCTCCAAATGAAAATTATTTCTTCCCTGAGGGATCACGTGACTTACAATGCTGAGGCTCAGCGTAAAGCCCACTACTTCAGCCGATTACTTGGAAAACTTCCGGAGTTGCGATCCTTGAGCGTCCAGGGTCTGCAACGGATATTTTACTTAAAATTAGAAGATTTGGTTCCTGCCCCACCGTTGATAGAGAAAATGTTCGTCGCTAGCTTGCCTTTTTAAGATGATTAATAATATATAAACTCCAAAATTCGAGTGATCCTAGAGATAACTTTTTCCAAACGTGATATCAACTGTTCTTTGTGATTTGTTACGAGTAGGTAGCCTCTAGTGTTTTTTTTTTAAATAAAATTTTAGTTTTAGATGGTTAAATGTACGATTTGGGAGAGAGGATTGTCGGTTCTTGCCAGAACGAATCAGAAGAAAGTGATTGAAATAACCTTGTGTTTAAATAAATTAATTAAAATAAATGATCGACGACGTCGATGATTTGCTTTTCTCGTCATAACTTTGCTGTAGTAAGTAGTAACTCAATTGAGCAAAGGTTTGTGATACATATGGGCATTTGTCAGCTGAAACTCATTCATTTTTTCTGTTTGATAGTTGAGTAATAATGTGCTACACTTCTGATGTATAGTCTTTCTTTAATATTGGTGCCGTTTTGTTGAGAATGGTACGCCAAATGTTGTCGATCCCTAAAGCACTTAGAAACTTAAAGATAGGAAAAAATTGGTCTGTTCAAAATCTTAAAATACTCGTACATTCCTTCTTTAATTAAACTACGGCCTAACATATCAAAAGGGTTTCCGAGTTTCTGTCAGTGGACCGAACAATCATCTTTATCAAATTGCAAAATTTCGTTTGATGTGTTGTACTATTTTTAAAAATGCACATTTCGGTGTTTAGTGAGTCCCATTTCTACTCTTATGGCTTCTATGTGTCTGTAGACTTTTCTCGGTACTACATTTACGCTGCGTTCGAGTAAGAATATACTGCGAGCAGAAAATGGTTACGGTAACTGATTATCTGCCCATTATATTTCTATATAGATGTCCTTATTTTACATTTTAATGTCGAAGCTACTTAAACTCTTAGATAGAACAATTTACTATGTATTTTTCGTAAGTGACATTAGTGTTTAAGGTGTTATGTACGCAACTTTTTATAAATGTCTACTTTGTTATATGATACTCTAGCACTTTTAAGCATTTTTCACTAGACGGTTCATAAAACTTTTGGGTGGTCTGGAAATTATTCAATTTTATGCTTTATGAAATAATATAGCATAAAATGATAATTTGGGTCATTCGCTAAAGATAAAAAGACGTAAGATATGGTTAAAGAGACCTGATACAATATACTCGAGCAGAAAGATTTTTCATGAGTTTCTTTTTGGAGATAAGTGATATTATATAGATGTACAGTTTTAGGCTTTTAATATATTTTTTCAATGTTACCACCACAAAAAGTGTGGAAAATTACTAATTATATGCGATATTTTCCCTAGTCAAGGCACTTAATTATTGTACATAATTGAAACAAATAAAATCGAGATATTTTATTTACACTGTTTTACAAAAAAAAGATGTATATTTTACTAGTGTTGTGAACTTACCTATCTAAAGTTACCTAAGTGTTTTTATGATTTTTTTAGATATTTATTTTTGTTTCGTGTTTTTTTTATTTTACATTAAAATTAGGACAAATCTTAAATGATCGTGCTAGAAGGATTTGGTTTAATCCTGATCTCGAATAGACAAAAATTAGAAAAACTTAAGATTTGTCCTCTTGTCAACATCATTTCGAGTTAAAAAATATAGTGCCATTTCCCACTTGGACCATTTGTTATACAAGGTGGATGAACTATAATCTTAAATTTAAATGCTTGAGGTGATACAAGAAGAAAGAAATTGAAGTTGAAGTCTAAGACAATAACGAATACTGATTTACTAACGCTAATTTGTTGGTCCACTTTGTATCGTTCCACTAAAGTGTCCTAATTATTATCAATTTAAACGTATTTATTTTTCATATCAATGAACTGCCTTGGAATACTGAAACGGATGGACTGAAAAGTTAGTTACCTGATGGAAAGACATTGTAATATACAGGGTGTTCTGTAAACAAAAAGATATAATTAATTTTTAAGACACTCTGTGTTACACGTTAGGATAAATTGCACTTCTAACTTACCGTCCGCTTGTATTTGTCTCGTAATTCCTCTCCCCGTGCAATAAAAATATTATTTGACTCATACAGGGTGATCATATTTGACCATGTTGAAATGTCAGAAGAAATCCCAAATTTTCCAGAGAAAGCTTTTAGATCAAAGTTTTGGAAACCTACAATTTTTTTTGTTACCCTGTATATTTAATCCTTGTGACAACTACTTTTGCGATTTTATGTAAGAGTACAAATTATTTCAAAGGTCTTTTCAAAACCTGGATTACTAATACAGAAGAGATTGACTGGTTTCTAAATATCAGTATAATACACTTTTTGTCTCCTATAATGCGATGCAAATGGAAAATGCAATTTGTATGTTTTGTTCAAGCGTTGTGGGATTCTTGCAATATTTCTATGAAGTAAAATTTACAAGTACCTGTTCTTTTATAATTTTATACGACGATTTCGTCAGCAAAATTAATTCATACTGGGCAGTAGAGAATAAGAATTTTATAAAATAAAACTGTGTTTTAATAAACTTTTTAGGAGGCGTTACAGGCTTTCGTTTCAATTTAAGCGACAACCTAAAAGCCTCACCTTTAAAATCTTTTCTCATATTTTGATTATACAAAACATTAAACTTGCGCCTTGTATAAATTAATTTAATTTAAAAATTTGCTGAACCATGCCATGATATGCCAGTTCTAATTCATATACGATTTAAACTAAATGATATTGTGTTTAGCTTAACACTGCAAATATATAATTATACCTAGAGTTACCAGAACGTCCGCAATGTTTTCATTTTTTTACTAATTTGCGAAATAATATTTTTCATTAATATAGTCCTGCTTTTGAAATGTACAAGGTTTCGTTTTCTATTAATTTATCAAAAAAAAAATGCAGTGTGTGTCGCACGCATTTCAAAAAATGACTTATCATCTACCGCGACAAACATATCTAGAAGAAGTAATATTCGAGAAATACTTGCTGTTAATTTTAAGAACTAAATACATGTATGTACTTAATATTTGATATTATAAAATGGATCCTTTTTGGTTTATCGTTTATTTATCTTTAATTATTATGGCTTTGTACTTTTTTGTTAGAATTATGAGATATATTGTAACAATTTTATTTGAATAAATAAATATTCATAAATTGTAGTGTTTTTTGACATATTGCAGATGCCTTAAAGAGAAGGAAAAGGCACCTGAACGAAGCTGTAAGATGTATAATTTTAAGTCCATAAACATTAGAGTTACCCAACACCCATACAAAAGACAATTACTTCAAATAAAAATAAAATTTGAAATTTTTTGAAATGTTAAGAATAAAAATTAAGAATCTAAACAAATCATACTTACTGGAACATTTTCATACATTTGCCATCTCACTTATTTATGCAGAACTTTTTTGGTTTTGTATTAATAATATAGTAAAAAAAATAAATTTTATTTCCAACTACACCAGAAGAGGAACATAAACTCCTAAAATCTATTTATTGATCTAGTACTCATTTAATTATATGACAAAACTAAAATAAAGATCAACAGCTCAGTCTTCGTAGGTCATACTTTCAGATCTGATCATAGCAAAACAATTTTCCTTGCCTGTTTTTTTTTACATGAGAATCTTTAAATCATGTCCCAGACATTCAGTTTTGGATCTGTGCACAACTTCATTTGAATAGTTGCATTAACTGCAATTTTACTTGCTCCTAGACAAGTTCCTGAACCCAAATTGTAAATTGGTGAATCTTCCTAAAACAAGAAAAAAACTATCAAGAAAAATTGAACTAAGAGAACTTAGTGTTGACTTACTCCTCCTTTGTGTTTCCACTCTTGATCTGCTCCTAATTCATGGCATTTATATAAGATTGGTAGCGGTTTTGAAGCCTGAAGACACAACAGTTGTGCAAGGACTAATTCACTCTTATCAGTTTCATACCACAGCTGCTTCTTGCTCCTGACGCATGGTCTCAAAATTAATGTGCTCCCCTTACTTTTGACATCTTTGGAGCTCTGAATGCATAGTGAAGTGTTCCTTAACCTGCACATGATAAGAACAACATAAATAATTCTGAAGTATTTTAATAAGTTTACCTAATCTGGAACTGATTGACATAATTTCTTTTTCTTGAATGCCATGGTTGAAATTGATTCTGCTCCAAAGCGGACCACTTCTTTTTTAAACGTTCTGTATCGTCCGATGGTAAGGTCAGCTCTGGATAAATATTCTTGAGATACCAATCAAAATCTTGACACTTCAATTCTTTGCGAAGTTGAATTCTAGAGGATATGTCGCCATAATTAATTTTTTTCGCCTGTTTGTTTTGACTTAAAAAATATTCCTAAAAAATAACTAATTGAATGTAGAATTGTCTAAAAACGCCCTATTGAATGGCAAAAAAAAGTTGAAAATCAAAGACAAAAAATGTTAATACTTCTAAAACACAAACCAAATAAAAGCAGAATTGAAAGCCTTCAGAAAGTTTCAACACACCCTACATCCCCAAAAAAATAAACTCACTTTATAATCATCTAACCACACATGGGCGACTCTCAAGGAATTATACAACATAGTATCTTCTCCATCAGGTGACCCATAAGGCCTTCTATGTCTAAAAATATGACCTACTCTGCTGCATGGGATGATTTCCAAAGAACCATTACACATCCAAATCTAAATTAATTATGATTAATTTCAAGATCATTTGTTGACAATCTCTTACCCGAAATGACAACTCCAAATTTTCACCTCCCCATATATTCATTCCAGCATCATATTCGCCAATATCAATAAAATACTTTCTGTTAATTGCAAATAATCCTCCTGCCATTGTTGGAGATTTTAGTGGTTTGACAAAGTCTGCAGATTTGTTTAGAGTTCCTTTAAAAACAAAATAAGTGTGCAGATTACAAAAAGGCTGACATAATGAATACCTTTGGGAAGATTTTCCCACTTAAAATGCAGTCCCCAGTTAAAACCACCCCTGACTAATGGACTAGAACTATAAAAAAAAGTGTCAGGGTTGATGATGTCTATAATAGGCATGACTACATTGGATCTGTTCTGCTTAATTCTCTCTAAAAGTGGTGGAAGCCACTTGACATTGACTTCTATATGGCTATCCAAAAATACCAACACCTATATAATTAACCATTGTTAACTATATAAAATTAAACAACATGTACTGCTACTTACTTCTCCACTGGCTTTGTGAGATCCAAATATTCTAGCACGAATGAGTCCCTCCCTTCTTTCGGTTTTGTATAGTTTAACTTTTTCTAATTTGTTTTTAGATAAATATTGTTGCAAATCCTGATGCAACTTGGGCAAATCACTAAAATCATCTATTAAAATGATTTCATGTAGGACAGCTTCTCCAGTCCTGTCCAATAATGAATGTATTGTTCGAATTAGAGTATGCAAATGTTCATTGTAGAAACATATGATAATGCTCGCAGTTGGTAAGCTCTTTGGGTAGGAAAGATTTTTACATCTAGAACACCTTACTATGACGGATAAATTGCGCAGAATTACTGGAACTTACAAGGAATGTCTTGTATCAGGGATACTCCTGTGATAACTCAATCTGTTACTTATTAAGATATTGTAGGCATACAATTTATAACCCTGATCTTTAATTTCTTGATCTTTGAAATTTTTAACCAATCCAAGGTCCATCAACTCTGAAATTTATAAAATTTAATTTCCTCTTTAGTGATTTTTAGTTTTGCTTACCATCCTCAAATTTATTTACAGGTTTTTGTGACAAAACACTGATACTTAAATTCTTAAATAGGTGATTTGTAGCAAATCTATGCCCACTGTTCTTTGTTAAATAACTTTTAGTCGATTCCTTCTCATCAATTTCGTGTTGCAGTACATTATTATTTGATTCAGGAAATTGCAAGAACATTTTTGAATTTCTATTTGGTACATTTTTTGTTAACTGCGAGTATAAATATAGAGAAATTATCCAGGTAGTAGAAGCGCACACGATTCCGTATAAAAATGACTTGTTAATGCTAACCATTTTTTGTTTTGTTCTTCAGTAATTGAAATTAGTAATAAAAAAAAATAAATCTTACTTTGAAATAAGGTTATGTCACGAAAATGCACAGAACTGAAATCAAGCATGGACAAGAGAAGCGTCGATACTCGATGAACAGGGTCAGAAGAAGCTGCAATGTCTTTAAAAGCTTTTAATTTGATATTTATTATTATTTGTTATTATGGGATAATATAGAAATAATAATGACTTGCAAAATTTGAATTAGAATAAATAATAATAGACTTTGCAGTATAATAATAATAAATAAAGAACGATTATTAAAAACAACATAAATTTGAAGAGAAATTCAAATTCAAAGACCTATATTGTTAGAAGAATATTTATTTTAGATTTCTTTTTAATTTGATAACAGTAAAATAATTATCGACGTCGACTCAAGTCCATTTTTAAAAAATTATTTATCTACCTAAACTAGTTTTTAATATAGTAGTCGTAGTCATAAGATGCTGCATTTTCGCATTTTAAGCTTTAGAACCTTAGTCACGTTTATAATGTCACGCGTGTTTCCAAGATTCTAAAAATAGCTTGCCACAAATTGTAAAAATGTGTAATATTGTCACGCAATGAAATGAAATGAAAATTTTGCAATATGTACTTTTGTTCAGGATGTTACGGAAAAATAATGTAAGAGAGAAAATATTGGGAAATTTAATAAACGCAGTTAAGATTTTATGCGCGACACCAATCAATTTTCATGGGCTTTCAGTCGACTGCCGCGGTTTTCAGCCTTTCAGGCACCAGCGTTTGGTTTCGTGACCTAGAATAGGTGGCGCACCGGCTGATTACAGCTTCGCGATTGCCAAACGTAGCTAATTTTCAAAATTTTTTAATATGTTTGTAATAAGTTTCATAAGTCAGCTATTACGTTTGTCGTATCTTTAAAAAATCCTCTGATATGAATGCTATAATCAGAAATTAATTAACAGTGCAGTACTGTAACAAAGTATTTTTTTTCACGTGGAATCGAATGACTTCCCGTCCATGATTGGTTTTATAAATAAATAAATGCCTATTCCAACTGTCCCGTAAAATTTAATTTAAATTGGAGTCCCGTTGAGTTGACCTTAATTAGTATAGGAATTTCATTAACTTGAAAGCTGAAACAATGGAAAACAATTTTCAGTTTTGCATAATTTTGTTAGTTATGATGACAGCGGCGGTAACATCAACTTTTTTACTTTCTCAAATATTTTCAAAAACTTAAAAGTTGCCGGGGTCTATAGAATTTCTTCAGAATTTGATTTTTTTTATTTTAATGTTTTGATTATCCTTTACTGTCAACTTTATGAACGCCATATTAAACTATTGCCATAAAGAGAAACTAAAACACGAAAAAGCAAGTACACAGTTCCGAAATAACAAAAAGATAGCAACTTATCTCAATGGCGCTCTAATAGAACCAATCACACTTGGAAAATAAATATGTTCCACACTTGCTTTCCAAAAATTTTTGGTCGACATCATAGTCGGAAATAGTCCAATTAACGCCGGCAACGTCGCGATTTCAGTTTACGACAAAACAATCGGTCCAAGAAATCGCTAGTTTCACAAAACCGGTGGAAAAATGGCTAAGAAGGACGGAACTCTCTAAAAATTGTGCCGTAATCTTAGATAGCTGTCATTTTTCAGTTTCCGTGAGTTTTTGCATTTGACCTCGTTATAACCTCAGACGTCGCGTCGTGCCGTTGCTGAAATTTTCAGTGTCGCCAAATAGATACGCGGACCTTATACGATACCTACGTCCGATTTGAAAATGTATATGCAAAACATGGTGTTTGGGCTAAAATTAGATACCATTATGTTCATAATATTTCGTATTTAGCGTCTGACAATTTTGAGGACGAATATTCGTACTTATGTTATACAAATTGGCGGGAATCTTGACGGAAAATTTTTAGGAAACTTTTCAAAACCAATAGATTAATGGCTTTACCGCATTCGATATTTCTGGAACATAATTCACTGCGGGGCCAATATACATATATAACCAGATTAACCCGTTACACCGCCACAACTTATTAATTGGATCTATTTTTAGGATAATTGTCTCTAAAGCCAAAGCAACAAATCCGTGGATCTAAAAAAGTACCTACATTCAAATTAAATTATGCGCTGCTCGGTACAAAAATCGTTTTTGATTTTATCGGTAGTTATCAGTTCGTGCTTATGATGATGGTTTGAAACGCTTCCAAAACGTCGGCACAAAAGAAATCGTGGCGTCGACAGCCACGTTCTGGTGAGTGTTTTTTTTAGATTTTTTGTGTCTCTTGACTTGATAATTTTATATAAGTAACCTATTTTCCTAGAATTCGACCCCTAGCTTTCGGAATCAAAATTAAACAAAAACAATGTTGAAACATTGGGTAATTAAAGGAATCAAATATGCTATAGTCCCCTGATTTAAAAAAAAAACTTCCAAAGTTTACATATGGAGTTCGGAAACACTCGGGAAAAATGCTGAAATCTTAAATACAATATGCGAAAACTTTGCGTTTCATAAATATGTTTTTTATGCTGTTTGCGAAAAATCGAAATAATTAAATGATTAAATATTAGATGAAGTAGAGTTCTATTGATTTTGTTTAGAAAAATATTGGCAATTCTATTTTTAATTCATTGCATTTTATTAGGTTTAAAGAATAATTCCGGGCAAACAAAGTAAGGTGCGATGTAAACTGTGTTTTAGTTTGGCCTGTAAATGATCAGTGTACTTTTTTTCATGAAATTTTTTGCTGGAAATTGCTATAACGAATTTTTGGAAACGTTGACAAGGTTGTATTTTTGCAGCCCCTTCCACTCCACCTCCCTGAATAAACGATTAAATCGCTAGAAAATTTTGACTGAATTTGTAAAGCGTATTTTTCAAATTCCGTTGGAAATTTGGAAATCAAATAAAAATAAATAATTTTGAATAAACCACTATTCGAGTAATGTCTTTTTTGTATTCTATATTTTATTTTCTAAAGCAAAATTACTGTTTTGAAATATTTATTAAATACTATTAAAAAAATTTTTTTTGCAAGTAATAATAAGTTTGGACTACTGAAAGATTGTTGATGGTGTTCTAAATTTAAGATGATTATCAACACCAAAGACGATTTAAAATAATCTCAGGCGGTTGAGTAAAAACGAAACCAGGGCTTGCCGTCTTAACTACAATGGTTTCCGTATTTTGCTAGTTTTCCGAAAACAATCAATAATTGAACGATATGGCTTTTTTCGTATTATTCATGAATTATTTATTGCGCGTATGTGAGTTGATTTTTGTTATTCAAAAATATCTAAAATAACCTCGGCAAGTTGTAGCGCCTTTTATGAAATAGAAAATAATTTCTCTCAAGAAGTAGGCTTGAAACTAGTTTTTGAAAAGTTTGTTAAAAAATTGCATTATTTAGTTGTCTAGTTTGGATTGACCTTCTAAAAATACATGTATAAAAATGTGGAAGTACTACTTTCTTGTGAAAAAGCTATCACTAACCGAATCTTTCTAACCCTATTCCGAAGTCTGTGTTCTATTTAATTTTCCTTTGGTTAATTACATTGACTTTCCGTGAAAACTTTCAAATATTAAATTCTTTACTGAAAATTATTAATTACTAAAATTATAATATAGGACGAGGAGAATGAAATAAATTACTGAAAATACTCTGTATCTGTATACCAGAAAGAACTAGCAAAATATTGTTTCGTTTTCCTTCTCATTTCTTTCATATTTCTGCAAAAATCATTGAAAGGAGCCTGTTACATATTTTGATTTCTAGTGCCCCACTCTGTAGAATACCTTATATTCCTTATCTAATAATTTTGATATTGGACACTTAATGTAATTTTGTATTAAAGTTCGTCTATAGACAAAAATATTTATTTAATTCGGTTAATTGGTAAATTGGTTAATTTTTTAAAATCTGTTAAGATCATATATCCACAAAAATGTATTGCCCTAATGTCTAACACCTTATTTTGGATTACATAGATAAATATATAGTATGTCCAGAAATAAAGTTGGAATAATTTAATTAATTACATGAAAAAATAAGACAATTTTTTGATATGAGCATCGGTCTGGAAGATACAGGTGTCAAAATTTTTTAAAAAATATTTCTTAAAAATACAGCAATTTATTGCAATAAATGTTTTTTTTTTTTTCGAAAAAGTAGCAAGGTACGGAAAAAATGCAAGCGACAAAAAAGTTGCATTTGTAGTTGCTTAAAATTGGTAAAAATGTCAGGAGCATATATTTTTTGTGGAAAATATTCGTTTGGGTGCCTCCCGGGACGCCACTGCACTTCATAATTTTAATTTAATTACACAAACCACACTACTAAATTCAAAAAAATCGGTATATTTAAGGTATTTATTAAAGCTAAAAATAAAACAATTGTCCGGGGGCGGCATTTACATGTTTATATACACCTTTCAAAAATATAACTTATTAGTTTGCCATTTTTCATTTATGCTTATTTTACCCCAGGTGGAGGCGCAGTTTCGGTACGACGGTTCAATGTGACGGTTGTACAACCTGGCGGCGGTGGTGGGGGTCCGGGGGGTATGGGAAGTGAGCTGGGATCTTCTCAATCTTCAGCGTCTCCCGTACCCCGCCACCGCGGCCAACCCTTTGCTAGTATACCGGAAGATCACGCATTGGATGATCCCCCATCCCAACACAGCCAGGGTGCAACTCCGGGCCCGTTTAGCAGCGAAAGTAGCAGAGCCGCCTCTCCAGTGCCATCTTGGGATTTTAGTCAGGAGGAAAGTGATTCCGTAAGTACCATATCACCTCGGGTGCAAAAAAAGCAACAAGCCAGAACTTGATATTTCGTTTTGTGAGTCTTTTTTAATTGAATCTCAATAATGAAGGGTGGTTCATTTTAAAGGGAGAAGTTCATATGAACGCATATCTTAAACTTTTGCAATACAATTTACAAGCAATTTTTTAAAAATATATTATTACCTGCTTTTCCTGCTTTTTACAGTAAAAGGATATTTAGAATAACCCTGCCTCTCTGGCGCATTCGCCATAATATATCATCATGATTTCGGGAAATGATAAATTGCAATAAGTGCAGATATGTATTTTGACGATGGCAATTAGCATCCCCAATATGGACGTTTTTAAAAAAAGTTCGCGTTCTATCTAAATAATTTCATGGCACGCCGATCTGAAGTTGGCAATGCGCGGTACTAAATGAAATCAGCTGTTCCGCCACTAACGTCGAAAGTTAGCACTACTATTCGTTTTCCATGGAAACTGATAGTTCACAACGTTGTGACGGCGGTGGAAAGTGTGGTGAAAAATAACGAGCTCAAATTGTTTCTGTGTACGGAGTGTGTATTTTCCAATATTTTTTAGTGCTTTTGCCATTCTGGCCTTTTAAATTCCTGGCCTTTTGAATTATGTTTGTTAATGTTTTTCGTGTGTAAGTACGTAAACAACAGTATCGCGATAACATCAGTGCACTCTTCGGGTTTGGTGGAACTCAGTGGTAGATTCTAGACATTGTGTTGCAAGCTGGATTGCGCCAAAATTTTGGTTTGCTTCACGCTGAAGTCGAGTTTTTCGACCGAATCGAAAGGTAACCTCAAAATGTTTTCCCTTTCCCACATGTTGGAAAATAACGAAGTTGTTTGCGTTTTGAGTACGAGTTTATAGAATGGCTATTAAAGTTAATTAACAAAACAATATGTTCGTTAAGTTAATCACATTGGCAGACAGGCGACGAGCCTGTCAAAAAGTAAATACTTATGGTGACGTGATTAGAAAAACACTATTGGAAAGTTAGTGATTTTAATACCTATTTAGGAGAAAAAATGAATCTAGTCACATTCTAATTATGAATGTAATTGCCGTCAAACTTTTGGATGCAGAAGTCTATTTAAGTGTTCTCTTATTTTTAGGCCATGACTGTAATCAAGGTGTACCGACTCCTTTTTTTAATACTCAGTATATCTCAGTATAGTTAAAGTGTTAATTAGATGGACATACTTACATTCAAAAAATAAATAATTTCACGCTTGTCTCGCTGGTCTTGAAATAAGTTTTTTTCGTTATTTTAAATTAAAGTTAATTTTTAATGAAAACTTCGTCCGTGCATTTTAACGTCGAATAATACGCCCTAAATTAAATGCGAACTTCTTGATGGAGCGTAGATAAATGGGGTTAATTTCTTCTTTTCACAGAAGTGGAAATGCAAAGCTTCCTTGATTGAATTCGCTTCAAACATTGTCAAGTTGGTACTTGACACTTCCTGCAAACAATAATACAGCCGCCCACTTATGGCCCGGCTACCTATTTCCGAAAATTTGGCATCCGAAATCAAAATGAATTATTTCACCGGTTAACTCTATGTTGGCAAAAGTATTATTGTTATTATTAACCGAGACCGCATGTCACCCTGCGAAAAACTGCTATTAATATGTATACTCTCCTAGTACATTCACACCTCTATTGGCATATTTAAAAACAAAAGTGGAAATATTGCTGTTACTAATAGCCGACGGGTGTTGCATACCGGCAACGCCGCTTGTTTTTCCTATATAATTATTAATTTTGTTATTATTGGAATTGATATTTGTTTTTGCCGTGCAAACGCGTGACGGCTATCTTTTGTTCCCTATTTACAAATGGTTTCGTGGAAATGAGAACCAATAGAAAATAAGCTCTGGGACTTAAATCGGATTAAATAGGTTGTTCCGCAACAGTTTTTGAAATATTGTTCTCGTCTCGATTGCCTTCTAAGGTCTAGTGGAAGGTTTAGTAGATGTGTTTCACATCCAAGATGCCATTTTGAATTTTCTTCTGTTAATTCAGTGAGTCTCTTAATTCACTTAATAATATTAAACTAAGTAGAGTTTTTCAAATAATGGGAGTCGAGGAAGAGGTCCTAGAGTTCTTCAAGTTTTGGTATTTATCCAAGCATGTAGTTCGCAATAGTTCAATCCTAACTTGAAACGCTCTGTCGTTAGAAAATAATTTGTTGTCATTAGGTATTACCTACACATTCTCCTAGTTTCGCTGCGCGAGCTATTATACGGAAATTTAAAAAGTACTAGTAATCTAGAAGCTTAAAATAATCTTTTAAGGGTCATTCTCGGTGTCAGTATACATTCGTGCGGCTATTCTAGCTTAAAATAGATTACTGTTTAAAATATGGTATTTTTTTAAAATGTTGACCTTAATTTTTGAATTTTGAATCTTCAACAGAGTGTATACTTGGTACGGGGTTTATAAAATACATATAATTTGTCACGTCGCATTATTTTCGAAAAAAAATCCCTAATAATGGTTCACACCATTAGAATTCTTAAAACTGTCACCTTCTAAATAATTATTTAGGTATAATTATTTTTTGGTAAATTTATCTTTAAAAAATAATGCTAACTTTCGGCTGATGATGTATAAATTATAAAAAATGGTTAATTCATGACAACTTGAAAATAACTCAAAGCAATTAATAGAACTTCGCGCCATTGTTATGCATGTAATTTTTTTATTTGGATTTTTATTTAGGTTAGGTCGACACGATAATAGGTGAAACTTTAAACTAAAAGGGCCACCTAATGTTAATAACATCACTATCAAAAGAATTGTGTCATATGAAATGCAACACTAGAATTTTTTTCTTTTGCGACAAATATACTACAAAAAAATTACAGCTAATCCATAAACAAAATATTAAAAGAGTGCAAGTTTCAAAGCACTTAATGTCAACTTTCGGATGAAGTAAAATATCTATAAATTTAGAATTTTAATAGTGGCAGTATCACATTCCCTCTGAAATTAGCAGTAACAGTTTTTTGCGACAACAAAGTGACACTTTAATCAATTAATGAAATATTTAGAAAGTGCAAGTTTTAATGGTGGTAATGAACTTCCGTATAAATTTAGCATTACCGGGGTCTTAAAAAAAATACACGAATTTTTTTTTACCATCAAAAAATTTATATATAATCCATAAATAAAATATTCAGACAGGGCAAATTTTAAGGGTGCACTTCTCACTTCTGCATGGAATTAGCATTGCCAGGTATACTATCTAAAAATACGTATGTGTATGTATATATTTTTTTAAATTAGTATTAGAAATCTCTGTATATAGCTACGGAATTATCCTCGAAATCATTGAAAAGCAATGATATCTTAGTTGAAGGTATTTAAAAAAAAAATCGAAAATAGCTATGGCATCTACATAACTAACTATTAATCAATTTTTGTACGTAAACCGAGTAATTATTCTGTTGGCGATTTCTAAGAATGATACCGTTATTCGATGTTAGCATTCTTCCCTAATGGATTAAACTTCCGATTAATTCTTCGTTATACGGAATCAAGCTAATGAATGATGTCGGCTTTAATTAACGCTTTAATTGAACGTTTACAAAGTAGCGAGCAGATGTTTTCGATATGCACAGTTGGTTTCATTGTAGGTAACGATCTGTTATGAGAAAAAGTCGTCCTTAACTATTCGCTTCCCTTTTGCGAATTTTGCGTATATCTATTTTGATAGTTCCTGACTGACGATCCAACATTTATGACAGTTTGCTACATAATGCTTATTTTTAATGCTATGCAATGCGAATTAAACCAATAGAGGTATTTATTTAGATGATTTCGCCTGCAACAAAATTAAATATCACTTGTAACAATTAAGTACATACTTAAATAAATGACTCTTATTTTGACAACGATTGCACAACTTTACTTTAAATTCGCGATACGCGTTGCTGACGCACACTGATAGCTACGAAACCAAAGCAGCATATATAGCCATTCTGATAAACTCGTACAATTCGGAAAGGGTTTACAACCCTGTACCAGCACGTCATTGATCCGCAGATGGAAGCGGACGTTCCCCCTGCTGCCGCGCCCCCCCAGGAACCTTATGACATCATCGACGTTCACGACAATGGAGAAACTGGTTCCGGTTCGTCGACACTTTCGTCTTCCGCTTCGGACGAAAGTGACGGCGATCAGGAGTCGATTCCAAGGCATCACCAAGCCACCACACAATCGGAAGACAATAATAGTTCGTTTTATCAGAGATATTTTCAAAACCATAGTAATAGTTTGCCAAGCCGGCTGACGGTTAATTTTGCCAGGAGGTTGTCGCAATGCCGCGAAGAAGACGAGGACGACGAGAAAAAGGATCAGTCGGTATGAGGGGCTTTTCTTTAAAAAAAAAAAGGCAAATGATGGCAGATTATTCAGATGGCTGGCGAATGTCGATTAGTAAAACCATGCTGGAAGGTACCAACAGCATACGTATACGGAAAAAAATAAGTTTCTATTGCAAAGTTATCGAGTTAAGCAAAAAGCATACAAAATAAGCCAAATTTCGTTTCTAGAAAAAATTCACAGAACAATCGTTAAAAATGACGTTAAAACGCCCTCTTTGGTTTATTTTCGAAGTTATTGAGATACATTTTTAAATTATGGGGGAAAAAGTAACTAAATAAGTAATTAAATAAGCCTGAGCTTTTTGTTATACCACCCAGTATATCGAACAGATGTTTAACAAGATTATTGACAAAGCATCCAACTCTAATTTCTATCGGTATGCGTGGAGCAAAAATCCGATTTTTAAAGTGACATTTAATTTGATTTTTTTGTTTTTAGAAATATATTTTAGAAATTATAAGATGTCTAAAATTCGCCTAAAATTGACAACCCTTTTTTAACCTTGTATTTTGGGTACATTGTGCAGTTTTGCTTTGATTAGTTTGGTATTTTTTTGAGATCTGAATTTTACGTTTAGGTTATTGAAATACACAAAACAGCTGACTTGATAAAATATTGATAATTAAAAGTTCTACCTGCAGTTCTAAATAGTGATTTATTAAAGTGTATGGATACTTATTTGACACAGTTTCTTGCTTGTAAGCTGCCTTATTTTTTATCGTTCAAATAAAGTGTCTTAAACGATTTTTATTGTATTTTATATATTTTTCATTAAATGTAAGTGAAAGAAGAAACTAAAAGAAATCTGAAAAAATACTATGTGTACGGAGACTTTTTTGACCCACTGTATATCTCTCGTGGCCCAAGGATATCTCTGGAATTCTGTGGAGTTGCAATCTTCACAAATGGAGACTTTCTGCCCGGTAAAATAACCAGGTTTTTTTATACATGTGCATTTTAACTCTCGCTGGGTGAGAAAGCAGATTCAGTCCCAATTAAATTTACCTCAGTTTGACCAGCCGCGCTTGTCGCTAAAACGTCACGTTGACCGAATGATCTGCCAATGTCATGTCGATTTTTCCAATTTCGTCGGTTTCGCCGAAACCAAAACAAAAGAAGAAAAGCCCCTCGCTCAAGGAATCCATTTTTGTCAGACTATAGTGCCTTCGTCCAATGCATTGGAAATCGGCGGTAGTGACAAATCGCTTTCGGAATCTTCGAATAGTTCTAAAACGTCTGTGATCGATACAGTGACGGGTCCAACGCACAAATTTGTGATAATGAAAACCAAACAATCGCCGGATCAAAAAGTAAATAACTCACTGCCGCCGCCGTTATTCTCGGACATTGAAAAAGTTAATGGCGGCGGTACGCCGAGGAGAAAACCATCGGAGGCGGCGAAACTCTTCGCTTCCAGGCAACAGTACAAACAGTCGAACACGGTGGGAGCCATTCCTTCTCCGAATTCGAGAAGGCCTCCAGCCTATGCCATTTTTAAAAATAACCCCCACCACGACACCACGTTTTTCGATTCGACATTGATCGCAATGAAAAGTAAATCTTCGGGCAGTTCGACTGCGGACCAAGACAACAGTGTCGATAGCATTTGGGTGAAAAGGATCGAACCGGAAAAGAAAAAGGTAAGTATAGTGAAAGGTCCGTTAAAGGGACACTCTATTTAAGCACATAAATCTTCCGTAACTAAATTTTTGCCTATTTCTTTATAAACAGCTAATATAAGGAAGTCACCAAACACGAACTGAATTGGAACACCTACCGAGTCCTGCCCTATCTTGATTTTATGATTGGTTCACATGCCTGGTTTACCTACTGTAGACACTTTCCATCATGTTCACTGCTCTGTCAGTGGTCAGTACTTATTCAACATTCCGACCGACAGCAAAATACAGGGTGTCTCGAAATTAGACGTATTCTGTGACCTAAAATAGGTATAAAACTATTTAACGAACTAAAACTTAGTATTGGATTGTCTTCAGGGGTGTATAACAGGGGAGGCGTGGGAAAAATTTGATCCAAATTTTTTGTTTGTCGAATTTTCGTAATTTGGACTGCAGAATTTGAAAATGTCAAGTTTTCTACGTATATAAGGTACCCTTGTCGCACCTCGCCACAACACACCGTTTTCGAGAAAAATGCTTTTGAAAATTTAATTACAATTTTTTTTTATTTTAATGTTTACCATCGAGATGCTGATAATAATTTGTGTTTGTGTTACTGGGTAAATAAAAATGAAATGTCAATTATTCTACAGCTTTCAATTTTGTTCATTGTTGACAAAAAATAGTTTTATTAAAGAAAGACAAATCAAATTATCAACTGTAAAGCTAATTATTGTAATAAAAATTATAATTTTACATTTTAAAGAAGGTCGATTGTTGATGAAAAATAAGCTATTTAAAGCTGATAGAGTTGTTTTCCAATAGAGAATTAGAAGATATTTATTTTGTATACGGTTTTTGCAATAGCAGACTGAGGAGGCGGTACAAGAGTATCGTAGGTTTCCTAATCGCCGAGTATCTAACGTAAAATGAAAAGTTTATAATTTTTATTACAATAATTAGCTTTACAGTTGATAATTTGATTTGTCTTTCTTTAATAAAAGTATTTTTAAGAACAATCCAAGTAAAAACTATTTTTGTACCAAAAATTAACAAAATGGAAAGCTGTCGAATAATTGACATTTATTCTTTATTTACCCAGCAACACAAACAAATGAACTGCATCATTAACTTCCAAGGCTTACTAATGATTATCTGCACCTCGATTGTAAACATTAAAAAAAAAATTGTAATTAATTTTCAAAAGCATGTTTCTCGAAAACGGTGTGTTCTAGCGAGGTACGACAAGGGTGCCTTATTTACGTAGAAAATTCAACAAACAAAAAATTTGGGGCAAATTTTTCCCACGCCTCCCCTGAGTTATACACCCCTGAAGACAATCCAATACTAAGTTTTAGTTCGTTAAATAAAGCCTAAAAAATTTAGTGACTGTACCAAATTTTATTTAAAAATTTTTACGTGTTTCGAAAATATTTACAAAAAATCGCCATCACCTCTTCAAATTTAACACCCTATATGTTAAAAACCAGGACGTTTTTTACCCTAGTTTATAGGAGCTTTTATCGTTATTCTGAATCACAGAATACTTGGTTACAATATATTGACGTCTAATTTCCGGACACCCTGTCTAAATGAAACCTCTTTCGGTTGTCGCGTGTGCGTCGTGATTCTCTAAAGAATTATTTTATTTCTTGAAATATCAACAATTTTAACCAATTAACAAATATGACGGCATACTTTATTTCTAATTCCTATTGGATATCATTTTTATCAAATTTAAATGTTTTGTGTGGATATTCTAATGGAAAAAGTTGGTGGAAGATATTTTATGAGCGTGTTTCCTGTTGATTGTCCTATTTAATGACCCATTCCAGGATCACATTCACTCCGCAAATCCATAGTTTTGTAATCGTAAATCGCCAATAAATTATTAGAATACAATTTTCAACCGGTTCAAAAACATCAACATCAATTTCGTGTCTGGAGCCCTTTAGTCGCGAAAACTACATTTTCTCATATTTTTCCAAAACTTAACGGAAAATAAGAAAAGCAGAAAAACTACACAGACAGAAAATTGAGTTTCCATTTGTAAGTTCCCCTTTCACATTCCCAGGTTATGTAACCATGTAGGCTCAAATGTATTTTTGGATACCTGATATAATTATAATTGGATCAACATCCAAAATAGGGGCTCTGTGATGCTTTTTCGATGATTCCCAACCTGGGAACTACTTTTTCCGGTAAATGCGATTAGGTAGCGATACACACGTTCGGAAAATCCGGGAATAATTTAGAAATGCTGCGATAAGAACACTTAACGTAAGTATAATTTTAAATAAAAACAATTTTCTGAATTAGAATCGAAGCGAAGCGATTCTAATACCGTGAAGTATGAATATAGTGAACTCGCGGTATCCGAGATTTACTATAAGCAATAAATGAACTTTTGTACACACCTGCTGTTTACACGTGAATGGAGGTTATTGCATAATATATAATATTATGTACGTTGGTTTTGTAGAAAATGCCGCCATATGCTAGCATTTTTCTTGATATGTATATATATTACGTAATGTTGGAAAAGTGAGAATTAAATATAATTCTGTAAAAAACAAGTAACAAGTGAACAAGAACAAGTAAACAATATCTAAAGAATAAACCAAAGAAAATACATGTACCCACCTACTGTTGGATAAACAAGTTGGATAATTTGGTTTGTACGAAGGTGTTAGAAAAGTTAATATTATTTCAAGGTCACAAAAAAGATTACAAACTTTCTCAGGAACGTCGCGTGACTCCAAAAACGTGCGAATATCTAACATTTCATGTTATAGATACCTGTTGACGCTAATTGGATAATTTCGTCTTCTGTCAAAGATTCGGTTGGAATAACTTGATCGTCTATTGAAATGTAACTTTCGAAGTCGAAATGTTCAATCCTATTCCTAATCTCTGCTTCAAAGGCTTTCTGGGGGTTGGTATTTTTCTTGCTATTATCGGGATCTCCTGAATGTTTTTTTAGCCACTCCGTTAGAGGCAATTCATCCTCAGACTCAAAATCATCTTCTGCTTCAAAAAATCCTTCATGTTTATTACAGTTTGCAATAGTGTTTTTGCTAACGTCCTGCCAAGCACGGTGAATAAAATTTACAGCATCCAATAAGCTGACTGAAAACTCTTCTAAGTCATCAATTGCCTCTATCATCTTTATCAGGAAAATCTTCCTATAGTTTGATTTCGTTCAACGGAACATTGGGATGTGCTGGACAATTATCTACTACAACAATAATTTTTCTAAGCTATTATCTTGATTCGGGTTTAAAGGCCGTCGTCGGTTGGAATTACTTCCTAACGTTTCGCTGGCACGGACGTAGTCTACGTCCAACATCGGAGATGGAAGGACCTCTGAAGAAGCTCGCCACTCGTGCCAGCGAAACGTTAGGAAGTAATTCCAACCGACGACGGCCTTTAAACCCGAATCAAGATAATAGCTTATCAACGGGCCGCGAAAGCCTTAACCAATAATTTTTCTGTTCTTCTACTACAATTCTGTATCCCATTGGAGCAGCTTTTCGGTAAATAAGTCAGATGTCATTCACGCTCTGCTATTTGACCTGTACTTGACTGGTAGAGTCTTGTTTTTAAAACATCTCTGGTTTACTGATTTGCCGATAATAAACAGCTGTCTCTTTTCTGTCCAAGACATGTTTGGAGTAACCAGAACTGTTATTCGAACCTTGGACAAATTTCCACCTGCACACCTTTCTCCTTGGAATTTCAATATCTTATCAGAGGTTAGTTTGTAGAAAAGGCCGGTCTCATCGGCCTTAAAAATATTGTCACTGTCATAATTGTTAAGAGCCAGTTATTAACAACATTCATATTAACTAATCCAGACTCACCAAAAATTTTTCCTCCAGAGATACAATTTCCCTTCTTAAAACGTTCAATCCAACTTCTGGAACACACGAAGTCTCTTCCTTCTATTCCACTTCCCATTTCACTTGCTTTTTGCTGAAGAACTGGACCACTTATGAGAACATTTTCTTTTCTTTCTTGGACAAACCACTGTAAAAGTTCCTTATTGTCGTCTTCATGACCTGATTTTCTGATCCCTTTACAACTTGCATTCACTTGACCATAGAACGAGAGAATCATATCTTTTTTTCCAGGTAGTGGAGACAGACAGTTGCTTTAGGCAAATTAAAAAAGTTAATGCTTTTCGTTTTTGCTTCTCCATTTGAAGGTCTGTCATCAGTATTCTCCACGAAATCTAAATCACAAGTGACATCAAAACAATAACAAAACAAATATATTTTAACCTTTCTCCGGGGAATTACCTGGTGAACCCCCGAAAAAAGTTCATTAATGTATCTTAATCTTGACGAAATTTAGTTCACTGTATCCGAAAGTTTACTATATCCGGGTTCACTATAACAATAAGAATTTACATTGGTCTTATGAGACTTTTTGAGTGTATTTCAAAAAGTGTTCATTATAACCGAGTGTTCACATTAAATGGGTGTACTATATTCGTGATAGTATTCGAATCTCTAGAGGCTCGTAATGACATTGAGAAATTTTAATGTCTGACGTTAAGAGAAAAAAATGGATGGATGGTTGTTGTTAAACTTTCCTAATGAGTTCACAATAGCGGCGGAATTTTTTTATTTGTAAATGAAAAACAAAAAACTTTTACCCACGTGCTTAACGGATCTTTAATAACTATATAAGGCAAACGCGTCACTGCGCGGTACAAAAATACCGATCAGAGTGGGAGAAACAATTATTGCTATGAATTATTCATATGACATGTCGTGGTCGTATACAAACAACAGTCTCACTAACCACTTCTGCAATAATCTGTTCTCACTTATTGTGTACTCATCGTTGAGGCTGCTACATTTGGAAGCCGAATATTTTTGAGGAACGCCCCAAAGGCTCGAAGTACGATACGATGTAGAAATTACAAGACATCGCATTTGCGGAATTTTGGAAAGCAAAACCATGCCTATAAGTGTGACAGTAAATGTCATAAACAAATGGTCATTAGTAAACGACTGCGCTATTTTAATAAACGTTTTTATTTTTATTAAGAAGCTTTTTTTATGAATCCAGCAACCTGATATTACATTTTTGCGCATTGCTGGCAAAAATGTTTATTGCAGTAAACGCTGATGTATAGTGTTATAAGTTTTTTTACGAGCAGTGGCGTCTTAAACAGTCAAGTAAATTTGTGCGACTTAAATTGTAGTTTAACTATAATATCGAAAACATATGTATTTTTCTTAATACTTTTACAATTTATTTAGCAATTTAATTTAATTTCTTTGGTATTTTGTCTTCTACTCTGTGTCCTCTTTTTTTTGTGGTTGGTCTTTGAACTATTATAACATCACCCACCTTGCCGTATTTTTATTAAGTTCCTCCCCGTAAGTCCATAAAATACCTGGCCCACTTGTAATGGGTAATTGAAAAATTCTAGCCATTTTACGTTTCACTTTTATGAAATTCCAAATGATTTCCTATGAAGAGCAAAGTGATAATCAAAACAAAAATTTAATAGCATTTCTACACGAATAACCCTGAAATCAGATGTCACACTTTTGTAGTTCGACGCTCGGATATTTAACTGTGACGTTCATGGGTTTGACAAGCTGCTATTAGCTTATTACTTATCATGCACTTTTCTAAAGTAAAGAAATGTCAGTTTCTTACACGCACCAACGATCGGTGCGATGTTTTACTTGTGTGTAGTGCAATTAAAGAATAGTGTTTTATCAATGGACAATGTTGCGCCAGATATTTTTGAAAAACCTCGATGAGTGCGTAGAAGGGAGTCTCGAATTTTCAAAACGAAGGGTAGAATCCGTTTTACCACTTGTTGAGAACTTGTATTGAAAAAAAAATATTCTCTTAGATGTATATAGTATCTCCGGCAAAAATGACAGCCACAAAAAATTTGCAACAATTTTTTTTGTCAATCGTTAAATTGCTTTTGGCTATGTTGTTTTGAAACATTTGTTAGATTTTGTGAATGCAAAGATTTATATTTATTGCCAGTCAACCTTGTTATAGATAATATTTTTTATGATCGGCCTTATCGCGGCGCAGTGATACAGATGTCAATTTTGTTTCCTTTTCGAATTTGGGAAAAGTTAAACGAAAAAAAATCAACTTTAGACATTTACGATTGGTAGACTAATTTAATATATTAAAGTGTATATAAAAATATATTAACTAAATCAAAATAAATAAAATGCATATATCAAGTAATTAAATAGAACTTCTGGTTACTAATCTGTTATCTACATTATTGGCATTTTTTGTAGTTCGTTTCGAGAATTATAGATGGCACCGCAATGTTTGGCCGAATGCATGCATCCAGACGTAATTACCTAATAAAAATCCAGTCATGCTTAAAAGTAGGTTGCAAATTGCAGCCCATTTATAATAATAACATTTTTATAGGCCTTCTCTCAGAATGTTTGAATAATCGTTTTGCTCTACGAGCTTGCGAATTGCAAATACTAACAAAAATCATTAGCACTTCGAGCAAATTAAGTGTGCAAATGTGTATGTCAGTAACTTTCCGAGTCGGAAGTGTTGCGGTTTCGTTTTTAGTCCAGTTCTGTTGTTTTTTATTTGCGATCAGAGAGGAGAGTGCTGTGGTCAATTTCTTTGGCGCTCGTGCTAATGCTGGCCTATAATTTACTGAGGGTAAGATGGTTGTTGTAAAGTGCAAATTGTGCCCAATCTGTGTCCTCTCTGTGGAACACTATAAGTGAAATAAATTAATTTTCTGAAAGACGGGAAAATATGAAGCATTTACTTCAATGGTAGTTGCCGCATCTTGAAAATTTGTCTTGAGGCCTTAGTCTAATATGCAATTGCGAAAGTATAGTTTTTTCGTAAATCTGCATATCTTGTTATTTTTATTTCATCAACTAACTGAAAATGCCAAGCTGACGGATAACTGAATCCTTATGTAGGTTATGCATGCCAATGTTTTCTTCCAGGAATTGGGATCACAACCGTTGCCGACAATAAATACTGACGATGTCGAGACATTTCCGCGTCCTAGATCCGGCACCTGGGGTGCCAAATCGGACGCGAAGAAGGATAAACAAAAGGCGAAAAAACAAGACAAGAGCAAGGAGCAAAAGAAAAAAGATAAGTCCAACGGTAGTCGAAGCGGTTCCACTTCTCGTTCCAGTTCGACGGAACGTCGGAAATCGGAAGATCTGAGCAGTCCGAAGAAGGAAGGTTCGAGAAGTAGATCGAACTCCGACGCTAGCAAGAGGAAGGGTAGCGCATTCATGATATCGATGAAGAACGCCATGTTGGTGAGTAGGGTATGCGTTGCCGCTGGTAAATTTTGGTTGTAGCAGCGGTTTCCGGCTTTTGGTTTTGTAGAATATTTTGGGCCTTTAACCACCATATTAGAGAGGTTTTTCTAGAAACATTTAGAAAATTCAAATTCTAGTCGACACGATATTTTGTTTCACTTCATGTGGTTCAAATCGGTGATCGGGGGCATGTATATAGCTATTTATATAGGTAGTACCCTACTCCGACTTTTTTCCTATAGCCGATCGGTTATTATGCGCGTGTTCGAATAGAACAGTCCCAATATTTTTGGATGTTTTTCCAAAGCACACAGGGCTAATACACAGCAAGCTAAAAGCCCCAAAGGACGGTTCGGCTCATCCAGTGAAACACCCAGACAGTTCCGACACCAGATATTACCACACCGTTACTGCCGCGTCGTCCAATAAAAGCGCGGTAACTAAGGTGATGGACATATTCAGAACTCGGCCCGCCTATCAATCGGAAGAGGAAATTATCAAACGCGAGGAGAAGAAGGAGGAGAAAAAGAAAGAAGAACGTCGGGAGGAAAAGCGGAGGGAAGAAAGGGAACGGAGAGAGGAGAAAAAAAGGGAAGAAGACAAAAAAAGAAGGGAGAAGGTACGTTTGAATCCATTCATGCAAAACTGAATTTGTGTCTGGTCCACAACCGTTTCTTGTATTATATGTAATTTTTCATAACAATCGCCTCTACTTTAATACTTTTCATTAAATAAACAATAATAAATAGCTATATTCGGAATGGCATCAGCGGAAAACGAGAGATTATTATTGATTGTATATTGTATGATGTATGCGCAGTATCCCAGTTCAGTTACGTTTTTGGCGATGTTTCTAAATGTTTGAGAAGAGTGTTGTTTTAGGTAAAAATGGAGTGGCCGTGTTTGTAGTTTATTTTTAATGTTTTTAGTAATTGGTAGTAGCTTATACCTTTGAATTTGGTACTTTTCTTGGCAAGGAGATTTTCAACTTTTAGTTTTTTTGTAGTCTTATAACTAATGAATGGATGCGTGTTCAAGATTGCCTTCATCCCATGGCTCCTGTAAGAAGACTGTGGGCTGTTGGTAACTTCTTTGTTACTGAAAAACGTTAAAGTTTTAACATATTGCATAAAAATTGCATATTAATGAATTACATTTTTCCGATATGCCAGGCGTCCGCTTTTGTTCACGGACGACCAAAGGGACCTAGAGATGGGTCCGCTCATCCGGTACGAGATAGCGACAACCAGTACTATCATACGGTTACCGCGGCGTCATCGAATAGGAGCCCCATGACGAAAGTAATGGACATATTCAGGAACAGGTCTCACGCCAGTGTTCCACCAGAAGAGCGGCGAAAGGTAAGACATAGTTTTTCAGTTATATGCGTTGGCGACTTTAATACGATTTTTTCTTTGTTCGGAGCAATTGACAATAATTAAGCACCACGTTTATTTTAAGTTTCTATAGGTGTTATAACCATATTTACTATCGATCAGATATTTCGGCGAATGCGCTAGGAAGATAAATTAATCATTAAATTTTCAGTCTTCATAATTAAATAAAGTAGTGTGTTCAAAGTTTGAAAAACTCTTCATTCTATGTTACCGAAGGATGTAACTTATCGTGGTTCCAATTATTTAAGTAAGGTATTTTATTCATTCATGAAAATTGGATAATCAGATATGAAAACCAAATTGTCTAATGGATTATGTTGTTTATTACACGTAATATTTATTCGTTTGTTTTGTGGCAATTTGTATATTAAAGCACCATTTGCTTTCAGCAATGCATGTTCTCGTTCCCATTAGCATTCAAGGATATGATATATCCAGTCGGTTTGCGCTACTTGTTCTTAGAAACTGTGAACTTCAAAATTGAAAATTTTATAATAAGGCCATATTTTACTTTCGGTTACGTAACTGCTTGCGCCTGTGACAGTTTGAGAATAATTGTTAATTTGTTATTATGTTACGGTTTTGTTAATATTTGACCTAGATAATGAAATGTGGGTACTTGAAAGATAAAGGTTACTTTTGCGACGAAGCTAATTGTTTGGAAAGGTCAATATTATTTTATTTTAACAAATTGTATAAAGTTATGTTGTACGTAAAAAAACACCATTGGAAAAAGATTACAAAATCATTAGATGTTATCAGTGTTCTGGTTTAAAGGGATTTAGCTTAGAGACTCTCTAGAAAAATGGTTATTTTTAGTAGTAGTTTAGTAATATAATCTAGTTTTAGTATTTTATTGACAGCACAAGTTCGATATTTTCTTGCTCTTTAGTAAAATGCGTCTAAGACAAAAGTTTTTTCAAACTAATTTTAGGTTTAAAATTTAAAAAGGGTATTTGCAAAGCATAAAAAGAAAGTAGTGTCTGTATCTGGAAGATTTTCGCCATCCTTCTTGTTTTTGAGCTTATAACGATTTTTCTCACGCAACGTCACTTTTTCACTGAAAATAAAATTCTGCGGCTCCTAAAACTGAAATTGCAAGAAATTCCGTGGCCAACGGAATAAATCATAATTAGTGTTGCTTTCACCTTGATCGCTGTAGTATCTTCCCGTCCACGATGTTGCGGTTCAAAGAAAAAAAAACAGGACATAGACCAAATTACGAGTCATTACTGGTGTGTTACGTTAAACAACTTTAATTCAAGTGCATCAGGCAGTTTAGTGGCAATTGCCTAGGAGGGGCGTTGAAAAAAAAATAGTAGATGGTCAGCTGTTTTCCCTAATGCATCCGAAATGTACGACGTTGCGGTGGGAGATAACGCGGTGCCGTCGGCAACAGCGCCGGTAACGTTGTTTACAACAAATTCATTTAGTTTATTATCAGGCCCGATGGAGTGAATCGAAAGATACATAATGTATGATTAAACGCTGCCGGTCTATCGAAATCGGAACCGCCGAAATTAACGAAAAATTCGCGATTTTTCGCGCTGGATATGTGACGAATTTGTGATCTGTGTGAGTTGTTCAGTGGCAAACGCAAGTCTATCCGGGCGTTGAAAATAGCACCGCGTCGGTACCGACTAAGAAGTATTTTTTATATAATAATTTTTGTATTTACTTTGATTTAACCGTGTTATCTCTTGTGTAACATAAGTCTGCTGACACATTAAATGCGTATCGGCAAATGACAATGCGTATTCGATCAATCACGTTATGACGTGCCAATATTTTGGGAAAAAGCAGTTTTTTTGTAATTGTGACGCGCGAATATTATCCCTCAAGTACTCGTGTTACGCAAGTAATTTGTTTTGGGTTTTGAGGAATCTTGTTCGTCTATCAGAAGGGAAAACAATTTTAAAAATATATTGGGTATATGCGAGTGTATTTGGCCATATTAACTACCACCTACCGCGAGAAAATGTTTAATTCTTGTGTAATATTGTTGTTGTTTGGCCAATCGTTGGACATCACTTCAGAAGCAGAATCAATGCGCAGAAATTATGTAATAATAAACAGAATAACGAACAGCAAATATCAGAATAATTACTCAGTAATTCCAAGCGAATAGCGCGTTCTTCCATTTACGTCAGTTTAGGGAGATGACCACCAAAATACGCCCAAACTTCATGTTGCTTATTTTGAATGAAGCAGTCTCGCGAAAAATTTAATGTGTCTATAGCTAAAGGTTGCCTTTTTTGAGATATTTAATATTTGCTGCCATTTCCAGGCCGTAGCAAAATGTATTTAATTGATTATGTGGGCAGCTTGGGTAATTACCCTTTCACAACTGTGTTTTAGTTACACTTTGTAGAAGGAGCAAACGAAAATTTTCGTTCTGTACGCAATATGCAATCTAGAATAAATTAATCAGCAATTCTTAACGCATCATTACAATAATTACGGTAATTTTTCACAAACGCATAGAGGAAGCGTTTATGGTGTTCTAATGGTATAGGTAGGTACTTTTCCTTACTCAATAATAATCTAAACAGTAGCAACTATTTTTAAATATAAAACAATAACAATTAATTCGTCCGCAGGTTTTTGTAACAGTTACTACCATTAAATACTAAACGAACGTCAATAGTTAATGTGTACGGTATTTTTGACAAGGTCACCAAAATTACTTATATAACTAATGACTGCATCGTCTTTTCTTGTTCATGCTTAGGAATGTTTAAACATTTCTTGTAGAATTTTCCATTAATAATGATGAAAAAAATGGCGAATGAAGACAAAAAAATTTAGATGATGCTATTTTATGTTACTTGGATGCTGTATATATTTTGCATTTTGTGCGTATGCATATCAAATTCTTCCTCATATTATATTATACCTGAGTGACATGATGGGAAAAATATTTTTTTTCTATTCCCTACTCTAAAAAAAATTATGCACAGTTCAGGCGCATGGAAAGTATCATTTTAGCTTCGTTACCCACAATCGCGAGCCACTTCGGATATTTCTGGTATGGTATTTTGACATTTGCCAAGTCACATTACATGAATGTATTTCATATTGTTTTGCAAAAATGTACCCAGAAACATTGATAAACTTCTTCAGTCACTCTTTTATTAAGTACTAGCTCCGCCAAATTAAACTCGTGATTAAAATGCGTTTTATTAATTTCAATATAAATAAATATCGATAACTCCAAAGAGGCTTAACTCATTGTAACAAACTTGGAGTCGTTAAAAAGTCCTTTTCTGGACTATTGTGCTATGTGAGTGGGATTGGTTCTTACCTTGCTGACATTTTCTAAAATATTCGCAGAAAAAATCTGAGAAAAAAATTGATTTGACGAAGGACTTTTTTTATTCCATTCGACAGCCAAATAAGGGCCTAACAACCCAGTGAAAATGGCATCCCAATATCTTTATCTTAACGCAAAATATAAATAAAAAAATATGAAAAAAAAAATAGTTTTCACTTTACGGGTTGTTATTAATTAAATTTATTACTTAAGCTAAATGATATTTGAAAATAAAGTAAAATTTTGTTATTTATTTTTATTACGTTTTTTGCAGTACTTGGAAATTATTATTACGTTTTGATATCCTGGCCGGGTTTAAATTCATTTATGATTTACGTTTTCGATAAAAATTAAGTTTAGTCAGGGAATCAAAACTTATCAATTACTGAAGAGTAACTATTTTTGCATTTTTGTAATTTTGTACATTTTACTACTTAAAGCCGTCAATAGTAAATAAAATTAGTCTTGGTTAGTTAACCTGAATTAAATGAAAAGAATGGTGATAATACTAAATATTTGAGAACGGATAGGGATGTCAGTTTTCAACCAATTTGGGGCCCTTCGAAAAAAAGTAATAAAGATCAATAACAACATTTTATTTCAATAAAGTCCAAAATTCAATTTTTTTTTAGTTTTTAGTCTCAAGTTCTTTAATTAATGTTTAACTGTAGGATAAAGATATTACATGTAAATCCTTGCTTTTTTTTAGAAAATATATTTTTTTGCCAATATGTCCCTCTTCAACGACTTCAACTGCGTTAAGTCTTTAGCGAGTTATAGACAAAAAAAATAACTCTCAGCTTTCAAACAGTAGTCCCTGTACTATCTTAGAAAATTTGCAGAAACCTGGTTCTAAAAATCGAAATGGCAAGTAGACCCCTTGACGACCATTTCAGAAATTTGAAAATAATTTCTAGCATTTTCTCTTGGCCGATAAATTTCTAGGACGATCCTTTTGCCCAATACCGTTCATCGTTGCCATTACTGGGACACCCGGTATATAATTTGGAACCACAAGTATTTTTGCGTGTAAAATGATGTTGCGTTTATTTTTTACGTTGTCATTTTAGATATCACCATAAAATATGTTTTGTGGAGGTCGACACGGTGACCATTTTGACCTGACAATATTCTCACAATGTCAAAAATTTTAATGCAAAATTAAGTTTTTAAAACGCGCTAGTTTCGTAAATCCCGTAACTTTCCACTCATTCCGTTGATATATTGTCCCGAATTATTATCTGCTGATTTATAGTCTCATCATAGTCATAAATACTACTAAACGTCAGCTTTGAAAATTTATTTTTGTCATGTTATTATTTTATAGTAGTTTTTTGCATGAAATAATTCGCTTTTAAAATTTCCATTCAAATATATAGGTGATTTAAGATGTATTTTGATTGATCTTTATTGATTTTCTGTTTACCTATTTGTGCTGAAGCAATTTCATCGAATTTAATAGATTCCTAAAATATTTTACGTTTATGACATGTGGCGATTGTTTACCCATGGGCGTGCATGCAGAAACTATAGCTTCTGCTATAGAAGTTATTTTAAGCTTCTGCCTGATTGAGCATTTGGTGTAGAGGACACAAATAACAAAAAATAAAACAGAACTCATTTACCAGTATCGTTTTCACAAAAGAAGTGTTTGCTTTTCCTGCAAAACAATAGATCAAAAATCACGTGTGCGCAATTATAAATATACCATAAATAAATAATTGTATGACGTCTCGCGTTTAAACAATTGATAATTTTTTTCGGTCAAATTCGCGGTGATATATTTCGAGCTTATTTTATAATGAAACAGAAGTTTCCGTTAAAGCGGAATTATACAGGGTGCTCGGAAATGATGAGCAAAAAGTTTAAGCGCACTTATCATTACTGTTTTTCTCTATTTTTATCTGCCTGCGATCTAAAGAAAATGTCCCTAAACTTTTCTGTTTAAAATTTTATAAAAATTTTCAAAACTCGGAATTAAAAGCCATTAAAACCACTCTTTTATTATATAGTCCAAGAAAATTGCCCTTTTACATCTCCATGTAATAAATTAATGCCCATTAATTTTTCTTTATATTTAATACAGCAACTCGGTCACAGAAAATAAATTGGTACTTATCCAAGTTTTATGGTAGGCTGTAGAAACCCCGTTTCATTTTTGCAATTGGCAGATACTTTCCGATTTGCGGAAGTTTATATATCTCGATTCAATAAAAATGGTAAATCGGAAATAAAGTTTTTCCGAAAATACCAACCCTAATTGAAATTACTGATGTAAATAATGCAGATGTGTGTTATTACATCGATAAATATTAATATATGAACTGCTGTGATCCATAGTTTACATAAACATTTTGGATTTTATCTATTGTAAAACAAATTTTGGAAAAAATATACCTTACCCAAGGCTACTTTATATTTAAAATACGCCGCAGCTATAGTTTCAAAACAATATGCGAAATTATTACGTTTCATTTGATACATATGTATAAACAAAATATTTTTAGACTTCAATACTTATAATTACTGTGAAGATATAATAGGAATAAAGTTTTGCATATTCGTAATGTAATTCAAAAATAATATGTTCTTTCGATAAGTTTCTTAATAACAATAATTATAGTAATAAATGTGTAATGAAGAATGCAGCTTCTTGTCTATTTAAACTATTCAAACTAATCAGACAATGTCTGTAAAATTTAGTTTGAAATTCATTGCTTGGGGTTATGCAAAGTAAATTAATGAATTTCCTAACAAAGTTTTAGAACATCTGCCGACTGATAAAAATGAATGCATAATAATGAAATTTGGTTTCAAAACGTTATATTCAGCACATGGTCAGGCCAAGTATGGAATATCATTTTTCATTGTTTTGTTTCATTTTAATTGCAAATTTATAATTTTAGAAATTAGAAATAGAAAAAAGCATTATTCGTTTGAATTTGTACTCCATAGCTGCGGGTTGTAAATTTTATTGGGATCTGCTATATCGAATGCAAAACGTAGTCGAAAGCAAAAAACGTAATTTGTAATTGGTAATAGGTTTGAAGGCAATTTGGGTTGATTGGTTAACCGTTTCTTTTATTATATTTGTTCGAATGACTAACAGGGTTTCCATGTGTGTTTGGTCTGGTTAACAGACAATTAAAATGAATTTTCACGTGTAGTCGTATTATTTTCTCATTAAATGTACGTCTACCTATCGTTATAATATCTAATTAAACAAGGAGACATTTTGATTACAGTGTTGATGCAGTTGGTATTTTTGGCGCTTATTTTCCTAAGCGTGAAAAGTGGTGTTGTTGCTCACCAAGGCGACAGATTAAGTCAAAATTTAGAAATAAGTCTATTCGACAAGTTTCTTAAATGACACGTTACCGGAGCGACTATTTAACAAACGAGTGTCTAAAGAAGTTTATCAACATATCAACAACACAAATATATTTACATAGTGACGTCACCTCCGGAACTGACAAATTTCAAAAAAATATCAGTGCGTAGCTAAATTCTACCAAAAATATCCGATAGCTCCTAAATCGGGAAAGCTGACATCTTAAGGCCCATTCGTAACGATCATTTTAAAAATATATTTTCTGTAATCGTATTTCTCCTGAATTTGTAATTTACGTAATAGCCAACCAAATGAATTTTCTGACATTCTGAACTATAAAAAAACTTTGCTTTTTTGACCATTTTAACTTATAAAATTTTTTGCTCATCTACCATCACTATTTTTATGGCGTGGACGTGGAATACGTATTACTAAACTTAAAAAAATGAATTCTTAAATTAAATATAAGGCCTACAGTACTTTCAATTTACCCTGTGCGTGGCTGCTGGTTGGTTTTTTCTTTTTTAAACGGCTTATTTACATATTGGTGGTATGCGATTTCGATTTTTCTTTTCATATAGGGCGGCTCATGCAAACGGAAATCGCGATACGCATTTTATTTTAATTCGGCTCGACGTAGGATTAAACTACCAGGTCGTTTCTAGGTTAAAGACCTTGCATTATTCTGGATTTTTTTCCATTATCTGAAGGCGCCTTTCAATGAATTATTAATTTTTACACGGCCTGATATTTACCACGTGACGCGGTGACATAAAACTGTTTTGAAAAACATTATCTTTGCCTCGGAATTGGGGCATTGCTGGTAAGGCAGTTAGATAGGTACTGGCAAGGAAAGATACAACCGTGCGCTTCTGTAGATAATATTGGTGCGTAACAAAAACTTGATTGATCGCTTTTGTTTACAAATCTGTTGTGATTTACGATGTGCTTTACTTAGTGCTCCATATTATTCATAGGCGGTCCTATTTTTTTTAAGTTAAATGCAATCACCGATAAATTAAGAAATACTATTTAAATGAGACTAAGGGACTGTTACGCGTGACGCGTGTGTAATTGATAATTAGAGATGTCCCAATATTTACGTTGGAGCAAGAATAAGCGACGAGATGATTTGCCGTTTGTTAAACCTAGAAGCAATTCCTTGGACCCCAGGAGCTTGGAGGCATCAGGGCTGAGAAGTTTTACTGCCAATTATTACCTCAATAATAATAATTTGGAAACGGTATGTTGCTCTTTTTTTTTGTGTACGCGTAAGTTGCAGGTAATTCACAACACTACAACATTATTGTATTAGTTGAGTTTCTGAAAGGCTTAGTGAGATAGAATGAGATATAACGCTGGCATATATTGTCAGCGTTTGAGTTTTAAAAGTGTAATCGATAAAATGAGCTTTTGTTTGTTAGTTTGGGATTAATAATAATTTGTTAATTCGGTTACAGATAAAACTGATAATATAATGATAACTGTCCAATCTCCCTTTATTACGCATTCTTCCATTTTTTCGCTTTATATATATATATATATATATATATATATATATATATATATATATATATATATATATATATATATATATATATATATATATATATATATATATATATATATAATCTCATTTTAACGGAAACAGCTTGGGAAATTTTGATTTCCTCTATGTATGAGATAATGAGATTTTGAAAATCTATTTTCGTCTATCAATATTAAAATCGATTCGAAGGTGATTGAGAAATCTCGAATCCCCTAAACATTAATCCATTGCAACCCATGTGAACGCATCTTTCGCTACATGCCCCTGCTGCTCGATAACCGTTGATGTCAGTCACGTTGCCATATCATGACGGCAAATTGGAAAAATTCGACCTGACAGTGATAGTATAAAAGTAAAATAATACGAGCGATAAATTTTGCTATCCCTGGACAAAAAAAATATCCCATATTATGTAGCTAACCTAACGGAGGACACTGTATTCGCGAAAAATTGTTTTTGTTATATTGAGCAAAAAAAAAAACTGTATCTTGACACTAATTTTGATTGAAACACACTTTCGAAACAAAGCGGTTTTTGTAATGATAGTTGTATAGACAAGGTGACCCTAGATTACAAATTAAAAATGCTTAAGTACTTAATTTTTAGTAGAACGAATTTTCCTGTCGTTTATCCAATGGTGCAAACGTTTTTCAAACAAAAAACATGTTTATGGCACATACAATAATCCGTGTCTAACAAAATATATATGACATTATTCTCTGACGAATAGTTACTGAATTACGCGCAAATTATTATATATTGTTCCCAATGCCCTTCTTAAACATGCCTATTTTGTGTGCAATTCTTTAAACTGATATTTATATGTTAAATTTTTGTGCCTTGGTAGGCTACGAGTTATTAAAACTACTTGTCTGGACTTCCATTGCATTTATTTGAAATATACCTCAACGTTTCGTTTGATGTGTAACCACCAACCCTTATCAAATTATTTTCTTGGAAACAAGTGGTTTTATATATAACATTTGTTAACAATCTTCACTTTCAAATAGCTTGTTTTTTTGTTTAAGGGTGAATAATACTATTTCTTTCTGTTGCAGAAAGCGAACCAACATTTAGGTAAGTGTTTATTTTTTTTGTCAAAACTCTATCTTCATAAGGTATTAAGGTATAATAATTAAGTAGTAAGGTATAATAATTAAAAAGAAAACTGTTTTGGTTAAATCTTAATACCGCTCCTGAGCAATAGATGGCAGGACTAGTTTCCCGCGCGTTATTATGGCTAGCGATAATACAAATGGAATTCGCTTGGGTTTGTCTTCTTTCTGCTAAGAATGCATTTAACGTTTAATACTATAATATACAATTCCAAGCCAGAATATGCTTTTTATGCAATAATTTTGCAACTGGCCATAACTTCCTGTTTTGTATTAGTTATATCATCAAGTATTTTATTAGTAGTCAATACTGCATGCCTGTTTTCGTTTTGTAAAATTCTTGTGAAAGTTTGTGTCTGAATACAACCATCTGACAAGCAATAATGACCTTGACCCGAGATGCATGACTCCAGCCAATCAATTTCTACGGGGTTAATAGCCAAAAGCTCACTTTTTCTCTTTCCTGTCGAGGTTTATGTTTACACACGTTGCTTTAACCAATCGATGCAACTGACGACGCTTCGGGTGTTGCCAAATGTACTATCAAATTTTGCAGTGTAACGAAGGAGCTAAGAAATTTTAACACCCTTTGCCAGTTCTGGTAATTCGTTACTTATACACAACAAAATTGTTACAATTTACCGTAACAAAGTGCCGGACATGATGAATCTAAGTAATGAAAACGTTGAGGGCCCAGTAATAAGTAATTTAAAATTCAAAGTATTACGATTATATATGCCGCAGAAAACCTAACAATGAAAAGGGAAAGTAATTTCATAAGCAATACGTATATCTGTGTTTACATGTTTTCCATACGCGTTCCATATTTTTCCGGTAACTTAAGTCCAACAATATATTCAAAATGTGACAACAGTGCTCGTTAAAACGCGCATGCTTCAAATGGAGGCTTGTCCTGCACGTAGACATTCTATTTTTATAATAACCGAGACGCAATAGCTAATCTTGGATTTAAATATTATGTAGTTTCGATCATAGAAATTGATAATACGATATAAGTGGAAACGTATTTTTATTTATGAGATGTATAGATTGTGGTAATCAATTATTCCTTGCTTACCATGTACGGTGAAAGCTGAATAATCAATCAGTCGATCTACCCATAGCACCATAAATGTAAAAAAATAAGTTTCATGTTTTTTTTTGTGGACCTCCCAATTTTTTCGTGAATAATTAAAACATTTTAGGATAATGTCAAATTTTGACATGTTTTTTTTTTTTTTAACGGAACACCCGTAGATTAATTCAAATTTTCATACGTGAATAGGACACACATGTTTAGTTTTCAAGTACAACAAAAAATTTATTCTTACTTGAGTGACAAGGCAGGCATGGGCCAGGTATATTTCTTTCTTTCTGATATATTTCTCGAATGTTGACCATTTATATCGGTGCTGAATAATCGGTTTTACTGTGCGTTTTGAAAAACTTATTTTACGAGAATATGAGAATGTCGCGTCGAAATCGTGTATGAAACTTTAATCAGTAGAGCAAGAAGCTTTAAAAGAAACCTGTTTACTTAGAAAATCGGCAATATCGTCGATAAGAGATATTATTAATAATGAAGAATTGAAGAAAAGGAGCAAACTCACCGTATATACAAAAGTGATCAGGAGTTAATAAGAAGGAAAATATTTTGTGTTTAGCAATACGAAGTTGTTCCTACCTTGGATGAAGTGAAAAAGATGCTAAAAGTAGATGAAACCAATATAAATGTAAGCCGTGCGAGCCTCCATAGAGTTGTTATAAAATGGAATTTAAATACCGCAAAATAGACAAAATGCGCTGACAGATTGCGCACTTCTAGATTTAATTACCTTCAAGAAATTATAAGATATAGATTAGACAACAGATCCATTATTTACCTTGATGACACACAAGACACTGTATCCAAAGTATGGATTGATTCCACTCAAAATTGTTAGACGAAAGCACCTTCAAATAAAAGGAACGGCATCACCATAATACACGGTGGGTCAGAAGACGGATTTGTCCGAATCTGCTCGTCTTATTGTCTACAATACTATATTATGCCACAAGTGCGGTAAACGGCATTTGACTCACGAGTTTTTTTGACACGAGCGGATCGGGTTTTTAATAAACGAGTGAGTTAAAAAGTTTACCGAACGTGTTGCATACTATACTTTTTCTACGGCCGTTAGTTTTTGGGTATATTTTCGCAAAACAAGACAAATACAATCACTGGCATGACTGTCAGAATTGACAAAAGTCAAAATTCAAAGCGTAGGAAATATCCCCGAAACCATCCGATTGCTCCCAAATCTGTGCGGTAAAATCCCGGAAATGTCCTAAGTGGCTCGGATCCGTGGGAAACGAAACTGACGTGGTGAAGTGACCCTTCCCGCACGCTAGATCCGTGAGTAATTAGGTATTTTACAGACGGGAGTAGAAAAAAAAAATTAAGGATTCTAATTTGGATTATTATGAGAATACAAGTGCCGAACTTTTTTAAAATTGGTTTCAAACCAATCTTTCAAAAATATTTGTTAGAAAGTGGTATTTATTTTCAATTCATTTACAAAAAAGTGAACTCTTGGAAGTCCAAAATTCATATGCAATTAACAAGCAATATGTATGCGATAATTTGACTGAACAGGTTGGGCATTTTTTACGCTTTCATCCATATTATTGCATGTTTAACTCCATAAAGCATTTGTGGAATCAAGTAAAATGAAAGGTCAGAGCAGAAAATGTTACTCCTGATTTAAGTCCCAGTGTCATAAATTTGATAAAAAATGTAATTAATAACATACCAATTGTGGGCCGGAAAAATTGAAGACTCTTACATTTCTATGCAAAACAACATAAATCCTAATATAATTAATCGCAATGACTTAGATTTAGACATTTAGAATAAAAACGTAGTTATGTATATATATTCCTAGCTATGTTGTTTTTTCTTATTGTAATTTAATAAGATTATACTCACCTAAATAATTAAAAAATATATATATTATTACTAAAACCTTTGAGAGTCCCCCCTATTGTTCAGTCCTTTATTGCTTACCGGACCTCGAGTTTCATTGCCGTCGGCAGGTAACTTCCATAATTGCAGGCAGAAGCCAGCACGATGAAGATTGAGACAGACAATACATAGTTTTATTTCAAATAGTGTATTGATTGGTATTTTTCGAATCTCGTCAGTAATTTTTCAATTGTTGAAAGGAATTTATTTTCATTGACTGCTTAACAACGATGTTGATGTTATTGTATCAACGAGGTAAAATTGATCCGTAGGCCGTTGGGTGCTTTAATGCATTACTATAATTTGTGTTTGAAAGACAGCGTTGCAAATTGCATACGCGTAACTGAAAGAAAGGCCACTTATTTATGTAGAATTTATGCAAAAACATACTGACGACTATAATAACTTTATGCGGGATAATTTAGCATAATTTTGAAATATTGAAAATAAGTCACCAACAAATTTATTCATAAATTCAGTTGTTAGATAAATATAAACACGTGAAGATGTTAGCATAAAATCTAGGGAATGAAGGTTGCCAAAAATAATTTATACACGTGTATTTAGTTTTAAATTTCCAAAATTAATATGGTTGAGTGATGAAAACCGCAATTTATATGTTTTGATTTGGCAGTGTGGCGTTTCGTCGCCCAAGGCTGTTTTTTTTTTTATAAAATGAAAGCTGCCACAAACAGAAATTTTTTAGCTATCTTTTATTTTTAGATAGAGGGTAGTTTTGAAGATTTTGAGTTTTTAGTTTTTAGTTCGGGTATGCGTCAACTTGTCGAAAATGTGAAAACTGCTCTGTATTTTTTTCTTAAGATCCAGTGGCTTAGATATTTAAGGTTTGTATGTATTCCAATGGGATAGTATGGGGATGAAGGAAATCACAGGAGATACAGGGTTTGTTAAATTAGGCAAGTTTTAAAGAATTTTATGAGAAACTTAAATCTGACCGCAAAATGATTGTAGCGTGAATTGTTTCTGAGAAATTCGAGAAAATATAAAAAGTTGGGTTTTCTATTTTAGTAAGTAGGGCCCAAAATACGACAAACATAATCATGGAATTAATACATTAAGGAAATATTTTTTTAAGAAGAATATTCGATATTCGATTCGATTCGATTCGAGAATTTCGATTTGGAATAAGCAATAAATTTAATATTAGTGTATGCGATCACTGGACCGTCAAAACTTTTTTTTCCTTATAGCTACTAGAGATATGTCGATAAAAGAGGAACTTATAAAGCAACTATGAAAAAAAATTGAGAAGGTTCATCCAACATGACCTGGCGCCATTCAACAACCAACATGGCCGCTGCCAGATTGCCAATACGTTTGTATGCGGCATTTTCTTATTTTTTTCTTTCTATTTCGTATTTTCTTAAAATATGCCTAGATCTCGTTAAATGTTCTGAGAAAACGAGTCGAGTGTGCGGAATTCGCTGTTTAGAAAGAAAATGGTACAATGTGGGGGTTAGTATGTGAAATGCAGAGGCATGCGCGGAAAATAGTTTTATTTTATATAAAAATACTACGAAAATATCAATGCCGCCTGCGGCGCATCAATTCTGTCGAGAGCGATCACGGATCAACTTTTGCTATTGTGACCCTAACATGATAAGTGCATCACATCACAATTAAAATATTTATTAAAATAAAATAAAAAAAAAGAACTTTCGTAATTTAAACGAACTTATATCTCCTATGATTTCCAATATCCCCATATTCTCCTACGCTTGTATTGGACACACTGTATATATTTAAATAGGTCAAAACAAAATAAAGATTTGTTGAGTTCTAGAGGAAAACCGAATCCGACGTGGTTTTTACTGTTTCGCATAACCGAACTACAAAGAGTGTCTAAAAGTTCAAAATTTTCGAAATGAAAAAAAAAGACGTTTCTGTTTGTTCCAGCTTTCACTTCACAAAAAGGCGATGCTAATGAAAGCCGTAAC